TCTCGCCTTCTCAGTTACATTGGCGACTCTCACCGGGATAACCGTTCTGATAGGTCGACGAGTGTTGAGGCTACTAGTACTCCTTTCGGGCTAGTCGACGAGTGTTGAGGCTACTAGTACTCCTTTCGGGAGTACATGTTGCAACCACTTCACCTTTCTTAATAACTCTCGCCTTCTCAGTTACATTGGCGACTCTCACCGGGATAACCGTTCTGGAAGGTCGACGAGTGTTGAGACTACTAGTACTCCTTTCGGGCTAGTACAGTTATTGGGATATTCTATGATGCCATAGCGGAAAATTCTATTTTCGGCTATGGGCCCAGGAAGTAAAAACTCGGTTCTTGCGGGTATTGTGATATCATCTGGAGCTATAATCTTGTGGATAGATTTCACTCCATCATTAATTCCGAATAGGGCTATGTCCTCAGATGTAAAATGCAATTCGTTATTTTTAAAATCCAAGGAAAAATTGTATTTCCTTGGAAAGCCCAATCCGAGTATGCAAGAATCAGTGATCTCTGCTACATATGCCGCGTGATGGTAAGCGGCACTTCCAAACGTGATGTTAACGTTTACTTTTCCATCGATGTCGATCTTCTCACCGGACACAGTCTGGAGGGTAACGCATTGCGGCGTCCAGATAAGTTTGTTTCCCAGTTGTTGACCCAAATCTTTTCGGATGATGGTAACGTTGGCTCTTGTATCTATTGTCATATTGCAGGGAACTCCATTAATATGTCCTATTATAAAAAGTCCATTACTGCCGCCTCTCACTGCAGAAATCTGAAGCGCTTTAAACTGGGGCTTTTCATTATCTGGCAACCTCCGCCCCGCGAGATGGCCACTAATTAGTTTCCCTGCTGTTTGTTAGGAGCGGTCTTAACATCCGTACCCTGGGGTATTCTGCAGTTTCGTCGTATGTGTCCTTCAGCACCGCAGTTCCAGCACTTTACGGTCGGTTTCTTCTCACCAATATTCTGTCTCAAGGTGTTCAGTTGTCTAGTTAAAACGTCTAGACGAGCGGTGACTTGATCCCCTGGCTTCTGGACTTGAGCAGCTCTGACTGGGTGGCGGTCTCGACGAGTGGCTTGATGGACTGCCTCGAATTTCATGGCGTACACTAAAGGGCTTTTCAAATCTTTAACATCCCCCATTCGCAGTGCTTTCTGTATTTCAGAGTCCCGGATGCCATCGATGAAATACTGCAGCGACAGGATTTCCCTCGTTTCTCTCGGGCACTCCGTAAAGGCGAGGTGGGACAGCCTTTCAACATCCGTGGCGAGTTCCTGGAGTGATTCGGTGGGCTTCTGTTGAAGGGATTTTAATTGAAGCCTGCTGTAGTTTTTTAAACATTTCTCGCCAAAGTGCAGCTCCAATGCGCCGGATATAGCTTCGAAAGTCAAGTCTTTGGTTGTTCTTTCGGGAAGCGTCTGCAGGATATCCGCCTGCGTCTGCTCTCAGCGAAGCGGCGAGATGACAGGCCTTAGTTTGGGAATCCCATCCATTCGCATCCGCCACTATTAGAAAATTGTGTTTTATACACTTGCCAGGAGGTCTCTTCCCATCATAAGTGGATAACTTCAGAGAGGGACGAGCAAGACATGGGTAAAAAATTTAAAACCATCACGAATTGCTCCCTGCCGTCGCTACGAAATTCTTTCTTTAAAATATCCACTTCCTTGGCTACTGCAGAAACCCTATCATCAATTTGTTGTTCGATTTGGTGTTGACGGCACAAACTCTTCCTTCAATTTGTTCCTCCACAGTAGAAACTCTCCCTTCTTTTACAGAAGTTCTTTTACAGAAGAAACTCTTTCTTCTATTTCTTCGTTCACCGAAGAAACTCTTTCTTCAATTTGATCTTTTACGGAAGGAACATTTTCTTCAATTTGTCCAACTTTATTTTCAACTGTGTCAATTCTGCCTTCCATAGCTTCAAATTTATTTTCTATTTTGCAGGTAATTTCTCTTTTCATTTCTTCTTGACCTGCTTCAATCTTGGCTTAACCAGCTTGAACGGCTTTCATTTCGTCCTTAACGGATTCCTGGCCCAATTTCATTTCTTTTCTTCTTTCATTTGTTCTTTAAACGAGGCAAAGGCTGATATCAACTGCCTTAACTGCTCTTCCATCGCTCTTGTTATTGGCATTCAAACCCCACTTCTGACACCAAAAATTGTTGCGTGCGTACGGGTTCGTTACGAAATGAATGCACAAGTTCAAAAAAAATGAACAAAAATTTATTATTATCACAACAAATATGCTTAAATTTCCTAAAATGTTCGTGCAGTATTACAATATCTCACAGTAGTTATCTTTTAACTACTCAAAAGTTCAATAGAACTTAATTCAAAACAGCTAAAGAAAGCTAATCCGCGAATTCGCTACAGTCAACAAGAGCAGTTTTCTAAACAACAACAAACTACGTAACTACTACGAACTGAGAGGTTTTCCTCCTTTTATAAGATTTTAAAATCGCGTGCGAGAATTTTCTAGTACTTTCTCGAAATCAAAAAGAGATATTTATTAAATGTTTAATGCACGCGCTCTTTTATTTTCAATATTCCGGCTTAGCTTTCTTTTAATATTCGTCACGCGCTGCACTAAATAAAACCATTTTATTTATAATTCAACTAACATTAGCTATTCAAATACCAAATCCGTAACAATATTTTTCATCCAGAATTAAAACATTCCTGGACAGCATTAAATTTTTCTCAAAATTTAAATTTTTCTCAAAATTTAAATTTTTCTCAAAATTTTGGCAATGTCTTTTCTTCTTTTCATCTTATTTTGATTTTAAATGTCTTTTGACATGCTCTCGAGTTCTCCCTAAATTCTTAATTCATCTGTTTTAAGAAATACCGTTTCGGTCTTGTTTTCAAGTATAAATCCCATAACCTCATAAAGCAATCTTTTACCATGAAACCGATGATAAATACTTCAATATAAAATTTAAAATTAGGCAAAAAGCAACCTTAGTTAGATGTAGATTCTGAATAAAATTCTATCGATTTCGAAAGCGATCAGACACAGATCCGTCTTCTTCAAGAGGAAAACATTTTCTACCAAAATCTTCCTCTTTTTCATTGTATTATGTAATGCAGAATCGTCTACTGTATTGAAGAATGTCATTTTTTAAATTTATTATAATTTTCCTTAAACTGTGTATCCTCGCTGAACTACAGAAATAATTTTCATGATCAAAGAAGCTCTTGCATTAACATTATGTGTAACGTGAATTTGTCGTATGCAAGTTTTTTCATGCACGTTAGTATCATAACCATGGAAGTAGTTTTTGAAAAAGACCAATAGGCTTTGACTGTAAAATTCGCTTACGTAATGGTTGAAATCCTTCTCTGAAATTCGAAGAAGAATCTAACATATATTTATATCTTTTCTAAATTCATTCACTCATGTACAGGTGCAGCAAGACTGGCACCTGTGTATCCAAGTAGGCATATTTGGTATCGCCGAGCCTTGTTAACTGCTAAGGTTCCGCACCGGAAGAAGTTCCGTGGGAGGACACCTTGGGGTGCGGTCCGAGGATCTCCCTTTCTTTCCCCACCATCAACCTCTCGAGAGGATTTCAGCCCGCTGTTTATATGGAGTGCCTCCTTGCCGCACAGACACTATACGCTTAAAATATCTATGCCTTCTCCACGAGTCCAGATGCTTTTGCTGCAGTAAGTGCCACTAATCACTAAACTGTCTGGGAGGCAAAATTAATCGGGTACTTGAAATATACATGTATGTCACTTTCTTTTAGAGTATTTCGAAAGTAAAATTAACCAACAAAATGTTTTCATTGATTACAAATCGGCAGCAAAATTTACGGTAAACAACAGAATTTGACAGTTGAGTCTAAGAGGACTCTATTACCCATAAAAAGAGAAATGGCTCTGAAGTGTCTATTCGAAAGTAACAGGCTACAGTATAGTGGACGCAGGTCTAAATTGAAATGACAGCTCATAGTTAGTGGCTCTCATAGTTAGTGGTTATTATGCAGTTTATATATACGCTATAAATACTTATGTGGTTTACTTAATATCCAGGCAATGAAAATATTCTTCTTAATATAGTAATTAAACACATTTTTTTCACTCTGCAGTTTCTTTTATTCGTTTATAAGAACCTAACAAATTTTCTAGTAAAAAGTCTTTTTTAAGTAAATAAAATACTGTTTGGTGGTTTTCGAGTAATGGTACCGTTTTTTGTACGCTGCATTTTGTGGAATCTGTAGCGATTTCCCTTGGAATACTAGTATTTCGAGAATTCTGGTTGAGAAAGTTTATGAGCTGTGCGTCTTGATTTTGAGCGTATTGCAGTATTTTGTTTTTGTTTAATTCTTTATAATTCAAGTTTTATGAACTTAAATTATAAATAATAACTCTACTGTTGTGTGCTGTTCTTTCTTTCTTTATTTATTTAGGACATTTTATGTGATAATTTATCTTGTCAACTTGTTCAATCGAATTTGAAAATTGTTACTTCTTGTATTAGGTTTTAAATCTTTTTAAACCGAGCCAGTCGAGGTTTGAATTGTCAAAATAGTTCATGCAAAATCAGAAATATGGAAACAGCAGTTTTACCGGGTTTGACGATTTCTTGTAGCCAGGCTGGCGACATTCTGGATGTTTTCAGAAAATGCGTTTTCGAAATTATACCAGCGATTTTTCGCAGAGCTCCCAGAAATAATTGTTCTCCCATCTGAAGAAAGCTACAAATGTCAACTACAAATGCAAATATGAGTCCGTTAATTAGCTAGTTCAAAATCTGCGAAAATTTTGTTACGAAACAACTGATTCTGCTGCGTCATGTGAGTGATTTTGATGATAGTTGAGCGCATTGAAGAGAATTTTCACGACATTTATTTTCTCCTTGGTCTAATTATAGCTCTTTTTGCGTGAATGGTTTTTATTACATTAAAAAAGTAAAACATTTTATTTTAATGTATAGCGTTTACATGATTGTTTATCTAGATGTTTCTTTTGTGTACAGTTACAAACAACAGCTCTGGAGCAGGCGGAAGAACTGCTCAAGTACATGGACAAGTTGACATTACTAAACAGGTTAAAACACGCTTCAATAACGGGTGACCATCCGCGTCTAGAAGAAATCAGCGAAAGGTTCAGCGAACAATCAGACCATCTGCAAGAGGTAATCATTTCTGTGCCAATAACAAAACGTTGTTTTATTGATCAATATCTTGTGTAAGGTGATCGTAAATTTTATTTCCTCAACTACTGGTTCTCAACACGTATTTTCATTTACAAATTACCTCAGAATTTCAGAATATAATTTTATGAAAACAACTTAAATATTGGGAAAAAGAACGCTTTTCAATTATAAAATTGGGTACTTGTGTATTAACCCATGACCGTTGATAAACCTCCAACAAACTATTAGCCCCTTTCGATGCTGAAATATGTTCGACGTTCAGCGTATCTTAAAAATACCTATTTCTTGGCAATTGTATTCCTAGGATATGTATTTGGACCAATTTTTCCACTAGAAGACAAACTTTTCCTTTCTTGTTGACAATACTGCCTATCGTAGCTTTAGATATCCAAACACTATGGCTTTCACAACATTGTTTAGTAACTACATACGAATAATTTTTTTCGGAAAGAGCACAAACATAGCCTTCAATCCATTGATTCTTTAAAAGCGCCGTTTTGAGTGAAAACAAAACATATCTAGATATTAAATTTTGTAATTTTTGGTGAGATATTTATGGAGAAATTAAAACATTTATCTTGGCGCATTTTTTTCAGTTTGCTCCAAGAGTAATTCACTTGGAGAACTTCTTAATTTATAGCAATCTATTTTCCTTTCCTTTTCTTCATTGTCCACGAGCGGAGAAAAAGTCATCGTTCATTACTTTTAAATAATTTTAACATAGTAAACTACATTTGGAGTTATTATCGCTCATAACAAATATGCTAAATTTCGAAACGCGACATTATGTAAATTCATGTCTGTCTGAGAAAATTTTGAATAAAACCTCTATTCCCCCCCCTACTTTAAGATGATTTAAAATCTTTATAGGTTATACGAGTAATTCAAAATGTTTTTCGAAAAATTTATAAAAATTATTTTAAAATACAAATTTTAAAAATAAATCATAAAAAGTGGATGAATTTTATTTGGAATGAACTAAATGTCGAAATGTGAAAGGAAGAATCAAATGAGTTTAATAAAAGAGAGATATTAATAAATATGTATCAAATTCAATTAACACTGAAGAGCTAAAATTTTGCGAGCTAACTTTTATAAAACCTGCTTTTTTACCAAACTTTTTAGTTTTGCACGATTTGAATCATGGAATCGAAATATAAAAAAATGGCAATGCTATTTATAAATCTAATACATATCCTAAGTCACGCTTTCGAGACTTGCAGAACGCAAGTTGAATTTCGTCAATCTGCCTAGTAGAACGGGAGATAAAGAACTATCCCCCCTCCCATTTTTTTTCCGCGGTGTTTCGCAATGAATTTGATCACATTAAGTGGCTTCTGCTGTACTTTTCTACAATAACTATTATTGTATCTTCTATAAGAGAACATGATTTGTTCAAATATCAGTGTGGGATGTACCAAAGTTGTGAATAACTATGTAGGCAGCATTAAATTTTTTTTCAGATTTTAATAATATTATAATCACAACACACAGTGAAATCTCACTGAAATGTCCGCGTTTCTAAATTGTATTGTTCAGATAGTCATCTGAGGGAACGTGATTGTTGACGTTGTTCAATACTGTTACTTATGTGGGCATTCAGAAATAATGGTTGTTTTTAAGAGCTTTGTAAAAGTGACCACCATCAGAGGTTTCACCACATGGGAGCTATGAGCTGTCTTCTTTTATATACAACAGTTTATTTGAGAAATTTTCAGCAATATTATCTTGTAATCAGAATATTTGACATTAGAAGTATTATTTTTCATTAAAAGGTTAGTATTTAAATATTAATTTAGAGCTTTGTATCTCTGATATTTGTTGATATCTTGAGATTTATCATTCACCTTTCGTAAAGGAGTGAAGTGCTTATAATATTCTTTTGTATTTTTAAAATGATATCTTTAATAGGTTTGCAAACTCCTTCATCACGTAGCCAGTGCAGAATCAGTCCAAGTCTTGTCGAAGAACACAGAAGCCTGCCTCCAGGTTTATGGACCACAGGTTGGTTGAAAAAAATTTAGCAACCTAGTTCTAATCAATAAACGCTTCTCGCTAATCAGCAAATAAGAAAATAATTTAAACTGCTCCTTAAGTTTATAACATCCGAAATGTTAAACTATCTTTTATCAAATTCACTGACGTTGCATCACATGTAAAGGAAAATGAAAAATCCAAATCGGAACTTCAACTAAAGAGTAAAGTGAAATCTGCGAAGCATTAATTTCAGCTGGTTTTTCTTAAGCCATAATTCAACCCGCAAGAACTGGAAATGTTAATAATTATATATGACATTCCTAAAGGTTTATTAATAATAAATTAAAATGAAAATATACGAAAACAAAATGTTGCAATAGTTACTGCAGTTGAAATGAATGCAAGAAAAAATAATTGTAAAGCAGATTATTGCTTTATATCGTTACTGCTGTTTTTAAACAATGTCAGCGTTTGGAAATTTTTCTATTGCTATGTTTTCTAGAGAGCAATTTGGACAGTTTTTCCCCCCTAAATATCATACTTCAAGGAAATAAGTAGAACAGAACTCGTACATACATAACTTCATCAAAATCTAGACTAAGATATTTTTTAAATTCGTTTCTAACTTATTTAGTTCCAAGACGGATTTATTGTACTCACAAAGCATAAAGGGTTAATGTTTATTGTAAATATGTAACTACAACACAGCGCGCCCCCCAGACGGTATAGTGGTTAGAGAAGCCTACTTCGGTACTGAAGGGCTCGGGTTCCAATGGATGTTTGTTAAAGTATAGTGTCTGTGCGGCATGGGGTCACTGTAAAACATGCGGCGAGCCGAAAGTCCTCTCGAGAGGTTGATGGTAGGAGATGAGGGGTGGGAGACCCTCGGACCTGTCCCCCTGTGGTGCTCTGCATTAAAATTGGGGGCGGAACTGCGCGAAGTCGTAATGTCACCTGCACGGGCGAAATCTTGCACTCCTTGCCACGATGAATTTCGTCGGCTTGTTTTGATGTTACTGTCAGACAAGTGAGATAAGTCACAACACAACAACAACAACACACAGAACAGAGATAGTTTACATAAGAGGTTGAATGCCGTTATATAAAAATGTGAAGCATTGATCCATTAAAAAAGGCAATTTAATTCACTCGGTATACATTTGCGAAAACAAAAATTTAATACTTTTTCCTTGAATTTTTGATTCACGATTTGTAAATAGATGAAGTTTTATTTACTTATACCAAGAAGTGACACAGAAGTAAATTTTTTTAAGAGAAAAAATGCTCTAAAGTTTTATTCTTTACCTATTAAGTATGAAAATTAACTTTATCAACAAATTGGAAACTGCACTTTCTTGGTAAATTGTTATTCAAACAACTATCAGATTTTAGTACAGTTCCGCTGACGCGCGTTTTCTAAAAACTGAGTGCTATGAGAATGATAATTCTGCACATTAAGAAAAATTGTGGCCTTTATTACAGTATCATTTCTTTCACAAATTTAATATAAATAAATAATAAAATTTTACACTTAATATAGAATCCTCTCTAATTATTAATTAAATCGGTTAACGTTTTGCATAAATATATTTACCATCGTAAAATTTTTACCACTGAATCAATATTAAATTACATTTTTCAGTAGTTTCTCTTAGTTTTAACAATTGCAAGCAACTTCAGTAATTACAAGCAATTTTAGATTTACGTTCCTATGCATACTGATGTGTAAAAATGAAGGGAAAAATTATTTCAAGAATATGTAGTTACAATTTCTATCCTATCTTATTTAAAATTTCTTAAAGTTAATAGCAATTATTCTTTTTTTTTTTTTTTTTTTTTATTATTATTATTATTTTTATTTTTTGTGCAAACTTTTAAATTGGACCTCGAGGAATGGCCTTAGATTACTTTCTGAATACTTAAATGCCTTTAGTTATCTTCCTGAACACATGTTGATCTCTGAACACTAAATTTTAAAATAGTAGTACTCTTAGTAGTAAACTTAAAAGCCTTTGTTTTTAACATTCTTAATTTACAGAAAAATTTCCTTAAAATCATATCATCAATTTCATAACAGTCGATCAAAATATAAAAATTATCATGCTTGACAAAAATAATACAATAAACTTTCAAAATGAGAATTTGTTACTTAAGTGCAAAAGAGTTCTAGGGAAGCATATAACTCATTGTTTGGACTTCCTACTTAGGGATATACATTATTTGCTTAGGTACAAATTATTTGAATTTTTTGTTACGTTTGATCTTTGATCTTGTTTATATTTTTCAGAGCACAAACGCTAAAATATTTCCTTTCTATACATTTCTCTTGTCATTTATAGAATCACGTAGGCAGAGAGCTTTGTTGCTTAGCTCTTTATATTTAATTCTATATATGTATATGTTCGTAATATTTTTAAGATGTGTTTGTAATATAATTTATGATGGGGATCATTTTATAACGGCATGTCAGTTAACATGGATAGATGCCAGATAAAGACATTTTTGATATAAATAATTGCTGTTGATATGCCCGTACTGTATCTAAGCTGGAATTGGCACTAAAAATTTTTCCATCAGTTGTACAACTGTTGGAAGTTCATTTGCGGGTAAACTGCCTTTACTGATGATGTATTTTAATGCTATTCCTACAAATACGTTTTAGACTGATCGATTTTGTGTGCTTTTTCTCATTGTAAGCACAGCAGTTGCAAGCATCCATCTTGACGGAAATTCGAAATTTCTACATGAGAACTACTTTTATTGACCGAATGGCATATGTTGATAATGGTAAGAGGTTTTAATGCAGGGGTTTTCATCCTATTTTGACCTCACTGCTAGAATATCGTTACCCTCCACCTCCTTTCCTAAACATGAGAAAGACATATTCACATTTGTTTTGATTTAGAATATTTTAGCGTGTTTTATAAATTAAGCAACAAAAAGTATGAAAACATTGATAAATATCAAAACTTGAATTAATTTTTTTACATTTTTAAACTAAAAGAAAATATTTAACAGCCAAATGGAAAACTGACCATGTCCCCCCCCTCCTGAAGCTGTAAAATTTCCTTGAAAGACCTCTGATTTAATTATTAATAGAAATATGTATTATTCTGAGATAAAATGTTTTAGATTCGTTTTTCAAAAAATAATTATTAACCTTCGAACATCGATTTGGTGATATATTTAGGACCGCCAATTGATAAAAATTTGATGACTGCAGAAAATATCGAGACGGCGACAAAATTCGTCACCAATTTTATTCTGCTAGATTAATTTTCCGTTCATTAACTAATTCTCTGGGGTTTAAAAGTCCACCAGGCCCATCAAGAGCGTACGGCTAGCACAACTGCATATGAATAAAGTCCTATCTTAAGAAAGATCCAAAGAAATGGTATCAAACACAATAATTATGAAAAGTAAACAAAAAAATATTGTAAGCTTTCCTCAAAGACTCTGAAAATTTCACATATCGCTATAATCAATTAACAAAGCTAATCGTTATAAAGGGATCTGGTTTTCAAAACAAAAGATTAACAAACTGAGTTTGCATTAAAACGCACGCAAAAAGAACTCCAGAAAGCCTTAGTCTCAGAAGCCTTCAAAGCTTTCGAAGAAATTCTTCACTTCCGTTCACAAACGAAAGTTTCAAAAGAGATCTTATTGATTTCGATTACTTCGATTATCTGATTTTGTTAAGGAGTAAAAGCGTTTTGATCCTGGCTATCGAAAAATCGTTCAAACAGAGGAAATTTTGGAAAAGTGGAATAGTATCAATTTAATTGTCGTATGTTCTTAATGCAAGCATCGATATTTGTCTTTCACTGTGGGATCCGTTTCACTTTAATGTGGGCGTAATGTTAAATTGCTTGTGTTTAGAGTTGCTAAGTTTTAATATCAGTATGCAGGTATTTATTTCTCTGAAGAATAGTTTATTAACATGACTGTCTAAGATTAAAGAGGAAGTGAATGAGTGGATTTGTGGGTATTTCTACTAACAGTGATTTCTTCATTAATTGAATATGTTACCAAATTAATTCAGTTAGATTTAGAATTTTTTCCTTTTATGATTAACTCGAGGTACAAAAATGTACAAATTATAATATATTACTCGCTTTTGCGATCAACCACCTAAAATATTAATTATAAAAAAGAAGAGAAAAATATAATTATTTTAATGTGTCCATCTAGAGTAATTTCGTGAAAATAATATTTCTAAGCAGTCATCCCATTATTTAAGTACATTTCTACTTAAGTTCATCAGATTAAAAAGTAGCGAAAATATTCCTAAGAACTGTGTTAGTTGCTTTTAAATCGCTTAGGTTGTTAATGAATAACAGATTAAATTTGAAAGTTACGCTTCGCTCAGTGGCAACATACTGTCGAATAGAAGAAAAAAATATTCTGTTTTAGCTATTACAATACACTGCTTTTAAATACCATGTTTCAAGGATAAATATTTTATAACAATTTTTTTCTTGGCTGAATGGCAACAGTCTGGCCAACCGGAGGTAATAATGCGTTATTTCGAGCAATGTTGCGACTGCTCTCATTTAACTCGCTGAGTTTCTTAACCAAAAATTTCCTTAACTTCGTGTAAAATATGACATAAACAAAAAAAAATTTCAAAATTCAAGGTGAATTGTCTGAATTCAAGGTGCCCGTTTTCAGATGCAAGTCTATGTATGTTCAAAATTTGGTGGCTCTGCGTCCTGCCCTTTTTCCACAAGGCGAGTAACATGCATACCTACATACAGCTTCTTCATTATTTAATAATAGAGATTACATTAAATAATATTAAAAATTTAAGAAAACTTTAATAAAATGTAATTAAAATAGTCATAACACATTACGAGCCACCATTATCAAACTAAAATTATTAAATCCTATGATTATTACTGAAAAGCTAATTTCGCCTAAACTATTTATATTATAGTCTAGTATCTCGAAGAATTTACCATTAAAGTTTTATAAATTTAAAAATATCTAATGTAGATACCACATGATTTCCTTGTACGACCTACTAAATTGTACACAATTTTTCCCTGCATTCCATTTAAACTTATTTCCTCGAATTTCATCAGAGATATATTTCTCATTTAGTTAATTCAGTTCTCAGTTCCCGGCAAGGCAAAGCTACATAAAAACTCAAAACATCTTCATTAAAAATTGTAAAACACAGAAAAACCTAAAACATCAAATACAGTTTAAAAATTATTTTTTTACAATTGAAATTAGAGTTTCTAGGCCAAGACAAGCAGTTCGCCCAGAGGGCAGGAAGGCGAGCTTTTCAAAGAAAAAAAATGAAACTTCAAGTTAACATTTGGTCCCACTAAGGAAAAAGATATTTTCTCTTATTTTTGATTTATCTCTTTTTCTCTCTTTCAGGTTGGTGCACCAACTGACTTATTTCACTATTCTACTAAGAGTTTCAAACGTAAACAAATAGCCGCCTGTTTAGGCCTAGCGTTAGTTAAACTTTCAAGTTGTTGACATTTCCACAATTATTGCATGCAGATTAACTAAAGACATTAAATCCTTAACGGGAACATAAGAACAGCATAATTCAATCACTTTTAAAGCAAAAAATGAAACATTTGCCGACATAGAAGGAGAAAAATACTGAACTCAATGAACTGGGTCGCAGAGTGGAAATATATATAGGTTTGGTACGGACAATTGACACGAAAAAGAGAGATTCAAAACTAGATGTTATAGCAGTTCCATATACAAATTATCAACGTTCTATGGTTAGTCGTTTTTGTGTTGTACGAGATACATATGTACCGGCAGACGCCGCGACAAATTTCTTTTTGAACCCATTTTAAATCCATTTCTGGAAAAACGGTTCTTTTATTTTGTTCGTACGTACAGATGACACGCAAAACCATTATTCAAATGGATTCGAGAACGGTCAGAATGGATATTTTCGTTCAAATATTGTACCCGAAATTTTCACGATTACAATAGTTCCTTTACTTCATACAAGGCAGTAAGAAATCAAAACAAAATATTACTTACTTACTACATACCTACTTACGTATGTATCTCTCATAAATCAAAAATGAGTAGCCATAGAACATTGAAATTTTGTATATGGAACTAGAATTGCTATAACATGTAGTTGTGTAACTCCATTTTTTGTTGTAATCGCCCGCACTAAACGTATCAATATGAATTAAGTCAGTTGGCGAATCAACTTCAGTGCCTTTTTTGCCCACTGGGAGCAGAAGTTAAATTTCAATTTTAAATTGTACACCGAAAACTGTATCTCCTTGCTGGCTGGGCGAATTGCTTGTTTTTGCTTAAAGCTTTAATTGTAAAATATTTTTTAAATTTTTTTAACTGCATTTGGTGTTTTAGGTTTTTCTGTATTTAACAATTTTTGATAAAGATGCTTTGAGTTTTTATGCTGTTTTGCCTTGCCGCGAAGTGAGAACTGAATTGACTGAATGAGAAATATATCTCTGATAAAATTCGAGGAAATAAGTTTAAATGAAATGCAGCAAAAAATGTGTATAATGTAATAGGCCCTCCGAGGAAGTCTTGTGTCCATATCAGATATTTTTCTATTAAGGAGAAGAAATACATTCATAAAGTTCTGAGAATTATTCTTTCCTTTTGGATATGTATTACCACATTTATTGCTTATTTCTACGACTCAATTCTTTATGTTGCAGGTGCTAAGCGCATGCCACACGCTTTTCCTACATCCAAGCAGTAAGGTGGCGAGAGAGAACGTGGAAGTGTTCATGGATGTTTGGAAGGCACTCGACCAAGATGTGACAGCCTTGGCCCAAGAAGTGGCCGAACTGTGCCGAAACTCCAACAACACTACAGGAAAATCGGAAAAGGCGGGTAGTACCAACTATGTGACCAACCCTTCCTCTGAACTTAATGTAAGAGTCATATCTTTCCACAGTTTTCTAGTATTTCTTTTAGTTTACGTCGTTTTATAAATATGAATTCTGAAGATTATTTTAATGTGCATAAGATTTTTCTAAAGAAATGAATATGTGATTATTGTAATCAATTGATATTCATTTGAATACTTGTCCCCAATTCTTATATTAATCTTACGACCATACTATGAGAAAACTGGTGACCGGAAAAATGCCCACAGGAAAAATGCTCACAGAATAATGCTCACAGAAAAAAAGCCCACACAGAAATGTGCCCACATAGAAAAAAGCTCACATGGGAAAATGCTCACTTAGAAATATGCTCACACGGAAAAAAACTCACATAGATATATGCTCACGTGGAAATAAGCCCATTGATAAATAAAATATGTAGAAATATCCTTATATTAATCAATCAATAATTAATCGATCTGAACATCGTACACCTACCTGAATTTTTCAAAGAAAAATTATTTAAATTACAAAAACATCTATACATATATGCTATATATATATCAAAAACTGTATAACTTATGTGTAGATTTAGTTGCTATATAATATAAGATTAAGAAATGGGCTGTTTCGAATTAGGAAAAAGAGAGGAGGAAGGAAGAAAAATGAAACAGAATATACAGCGAAAAATTATTACAATTTTAATTGTTAAAAAAATAAAATAAAATAGTAAGTTACACATTTTATAATATAAACATTTAGAAGAATAAGCAAATATAAATAATTATTTTTCTTAAATTACGTAAAATACCTTGTTACATATAAATCATGTATATTTCACATAAACTTATAAGGTATTTCTCCCGCCTTCTTAGTATGCCTTCGTGTGGTGGTCTGCACGCCGGGTGCGTATTCCAGGGTTACAGCCGAAAACATCGCGGCAAAAACATCGCGGACGAAAACGCCGCAGAGAAAACAACGCAAGGCGAAAACGTCGCGCTACAAAACATCGTGGGAGAAAATATCGCAGTGCTAAAACATCGTGGTACGAAACATCGTCGTCGAAAATAAAGCGGTTCAAAAACTTCGCAGTTTAAAAACACCGTCGTCGAAAATATCGTGGTAAAAAATAAAGTATCTACAAATCATCGCGTGACGATAACATCGCAGACATGCTTTTTTCAGACTTTAATAACTGTAAATAGATATTCCCATAATAATTTGTGAGCGCAAGATGTAAAGAAGGATAATTTTTACTTTCACATTTTTTTATTAATTAATAAATTTTTGCTGAAAAAGTAAGAAGAAAACATAAGCATAGCAAATTAATGCAACTTATAGCTTTTCCTGAAAACTTACCAGTAAAATTTTATAAAAAATGATTTATTAATGGTCTACTATGTCGGTTTAAAATTCTATTAAGTGCTATAAGTAGCATTAATTTTCTATGCTTAAGTTTCCTTCTTATTTTCTCAGCAAAAATTTATTAGTTAATATAAAATATGAAAAACAAATTATCCTTATTTCTATCTTGCGCTCACAAATTATTATGGGAATATCTATTTACAGTTATTAAAGTCTGAAAAAAGCATGTCTGCGATGTTATCGTCACGCGATGATTTGTAGATACTTTATTTTTTACCACGATATTTTCGACGACGATGTTTTTAAACTGCAAAGTTTTTGAACCGCTTTATTTTCGACGACGATGTTTCGTACCACGATGTTTTAGAACTGCGATATTTTCTCTTTGCGATGTTTTCTCCCACGATGTTTTGTAGCGCGACGTTTTCGCCTTGCGTTGTTTTCTCTGCGGCGTTTTCGTCCGCGATGTTTTTGCCGCGATGTTATCGGCGGACACCGTATTCCAGAGCTCCATGGTTCGATTTCCGGCGAAGGTTTTGCTCGCTGACAAAAGTCAGTTTTATTCAGTTTATTTTCTTTTGTTTGCTTAGAAAGTTTTGCTTTTATGTTCCGTTTTCAATGGTGTATTGCTCCTTCAGTTGAATCGTGCTACACAAGTAGTGACATGCAGAAAACAAGCCTAATATTAATCTCAAAAGAAGTGTTGAGTCTCTTAAGGATTTCTCGTTTTATTTTATAAGGTATTTCTCCCGCTTTCCTAGCGTGCCTTCGTGGTGTGGTGGTCTGCACTCTGGGAGCGTATTCCAGAGGTCCGTGGCTCGATTCCCGACAAAGGCTTTGCTCATTTTTCCCATTTCCTGCTTCCAAAATACCTAATGTCTCCATGAACTTACTGAATATTAGCTAATATATACGAATATTATCGTATAAATATCTGATTTTGCTATCAATTTCATCATGTTTCTTATATGATTCGCGATTATCAAATGTAATTTTTCATATTTTCTTTTTTTTTTTTTTTTTTTTTTTTTTTTTTTTTTACTTCAGTACGCCCTGTATTTATAGCCAGTAATAAACGTTGACAGGCTAAATCTTTTTTCAGTCCGTCAAACAAAAACCACATACTAGGATAAACCACATACTACAATTAAATAATGAATTTAGTACCTTATGAAAGCTTTCGTAATAATTTGTTGTTTTAGGAGATTTTTCGAAGGCTGCTTCATAATGATTCCACACTTCGATTGGAAACTGTGGTCTTCTAGAACTTTTTTGGCTTCAAACTTAAATAACTACATTCAAACATCAATTTCTATAGATACCCATCGAAAGTATGCAAAAATAGAGTTAATAAAAAAAATAAACTAATTGAAGTTACAGGGGGAAAAAATGTCTTACAGGGGGCAGTGGTATAAAATATTACACTACATGCAAAATTTTGCAATAGTTTTCGTTCTTTTATATACCGCCTCTGAAAAGGTTAATATGAGCATTTTTCCAATAATTTTTTCCAACGATCAAATAATTTTTCATTAAAAAATTCAAGTAGGTATACGATGTTCAAATCGATTAATTATTGATTGATTAATGTAAGGATATTTCTACGTATTTTATTTATCAGTGGACTTAGTTCCATGTGAGCATATATCTATGTGAGCTTTTCTCCGTGTGCGCATATTTCTAAGTGAGTATTTTTCCATGTGAGTATTTTTCTATGTGGACATATTTCTGTGTGGGCTTTTTTCTTGTGAGCATGTATACCTGTGAGCATTATTCCCGTGGGCTTTTATCCTGTGGGTTTTTTTCCTTATTCTTTTAGATCAGTTCCGTGGAACTCATTTACCTATGACGTATCTCTGTACAAATATTATGTTTTATTGCAGTTAATTACAGTTCTTATTGCGATTTATCTTTATTGTTCTTTTATTGCATCTTTTATGACAATTTGCTGTTTTCTGTATGTTACATAAAGAATACACAGTTTTCTCCCATATGCTGTTGTGGTGAAGCAGCTAACATGCATTCTCGCTTCCAGATTTTAAATACCAGTAATAATAACCTAAAATTTAGATAATTAGTTGTGTGGAGTAGTTTGGATATATTCAACCTGCGAAGTAAATTTCTCAACGACACAAATATGCTGTTGAGCAAAACTTCATAAATTTGATGCATGGTGAATAATAAACGTTTCCTTTCAGTGATAAAAACCAGTTATTTTATTAGATTCTAATTGTGTGTTAACCACTTCACCGTCCTACAAAACTCAAAGATTTACTTCTTTTTTTTTTCCCTCCAAAGATAAACATTTGTTTTTGAAATTGCTGTTAAAAATGTTTCCTTCCCCCTTTCACCAGCTAGACCTATTTATAAAACTGCCTACTTGTCATACTCAAGGATGTTGAACAGCATAACCCTATCTGGGAAAAAATCCTTTTGTGTTCTTTAGTTCTTATTTCAAAATTAACAAAGACGATCCATTAATGAAATGTTTTCAAATGAGCAGTAGTTCCCATTGCAATGCCAGCTGAAAAGAGTAGGAAGTACATGTCTATTCCCGTCTTTTTAAGTGACCTTTCTTTTGTATGTTCTTGATACTACCCTGCTGTGGAGAGAGAGAGTAATAAGTTTTCAAATCGACGAGTCTGTCTCGCAAGAAACGATGAAGTTGTTAAAGATATTTTCTTGAAATAAGATCTAAGGACTTTATCATTAGACTGATGGATGAACTTTTCCTTTTCTTTCATTAAGTAGAAGTCATTTACAGAACTAGCTTTGAGAGTCATTCCCAAAGTATTCTGTAAAATCTTTAATCGAACTCAAAGGATTCTAATATATATTTGACAATAGCACATACATTTGTTTTCTTCTTCAACATTTTTAGAAACCAGAAATGTTGACAGTAGCTCATTTACTATTTCTTTCGCTGGTAATTATAATTTTTCTTAAAGTTTTAATTCCTAAAGTTCCTAAACTTTCCTAAAAGCTTGTTGAGTGAAAATGTTATGCTACCTCCATGAACGTTTATTCCACCACAAAAAAAATTGGCTTGGATTTTTTTTTTTTTTGATCAGAAACAGACCCTTATCATGCCATAACTACTTGTCAGATTTTTCATATCCTGATACTACTGTTTTATCATTTATAAACGTAATTCTACTGGGTCAGCATTTCCAAGCAGTTCAAGTAATCAAGAACGATGATCTTATAAGACTATAAAAGTTGTTCGCACGTTTTTTAGACAATTTTCATTGTATTTACAGATATATTTTACCTAAAATTGCTGTGTTTTAAGTGTTCTGTTTGATAATCCTTATTACTCACTAGCTTTAGACACCATAATTTCCAAGACAATAAAGCCTTTTGTAATATTGGAAGAGGTATTTTATCAAATTCCTCTGGAATGCCTTTCCAAAGACCAAGGGAGGTTGTACGTCGGTGTTTGGACAACCCACGTTTTAAAAGTCAAAAAGCGGAAATATCCATGGGTGACGCACCAGGAGATTTAATAGGGGTATGGCCGTGATACATAATTAAATTTTTTTGAAGAAAATTAACAGTGGATTTTGACGTGTGGCTGTTTGCATGGGCTTGATGCAGTTTTATTGATTGATGACTCTGTGGGTAAAGAGAAGGTATTTCATATTTGAAAATTGGGTATAAAATGTGTTTCTGATAATATGTATGTGAAGTTGATTTTAATACTTTTCTCCACTCTCTTTATTTTTAATTTGCCGTTCATGTGGAAAACCAACAATAATAATAAATCCCTTTGAAAAACTTTCTTTAAATTCTTTGAACGGGTTTCAAGATTTTTTTTCGTTCTCTTTAAGAAAAGTAAAGGATCGCTTTTTATTGCAGTCTTAAAGTACACTCAAGATTCATCTAGTGTGACAACATTTTTCCATATTTGTTCGGATAAATGTTTCTCATAAAGAATTCTGCTGCACGTTCTGCCTTCCGCGATACGTCGTTGGAAAGACGATACAGATTATGTTTTTTTGCATTATTATTCAAGATTAAAAATCAGCCTTAATCATTTTGTTTACAGTTGACACTGAGAATTTTAATTATTTTTACTGTCCTTTGACTTGGTGGTTTTACTTTTAACATTAAAGACTTTACCTTTGCAACATTCGAAACATTCCTTTTTTCCCTTGAATATATATTTGAAACAATTTTTTTCACTTGAAGCTAAGCTTAAATATATTTTTTGTTGTTGACAGCATTAATTTACGTAGCTTTAGTTATCGAAAAATCATGGCTTTCGCGATGCTTATAATGATTCGATCGGAATAGTTTTCTTTGGAAAAAGCACAAACATAGCCTTCCATCCATTGCTTCTTTAAAAGCGCCATTTTGCATAACAACAAAACTGTCAGGTATACAGACGATAATTTATACTTTCAAAAATATAGTTGAAAGAATAAATTATTGTTTGTTAACACTGATTTATACTTTCAAGTGTCAAAACTTTAGTGTTTTACGATAATTTATACTTTCAGAAATAGTATTATAACAATCATAACACTATATCTAAAAGAATTGTGACAGTTAAAAAATTTCCAGGCAGATGATTTCGAAGCAAAATCATCTAAAAAATGTGCGAACAGCCTCTGTATGACAGATATCAAAAGGAGCATCCTCCCAGTATTTCATGGAATGTCAGGAACGCTGGAGCAAATGTATGTGTTCCAATGGATATAACTTCGGAAAGTGACCAATAATGTTTTTTTATATTTTGAACAAAGTACCTTATAACCCCTTTTCCTATACTTTTTTAACATAGAAGTTTTCCTTAAAACTGTTCTCATACCCTTGGAAACATATTGCTAGATTTATTGACGTAAACTGCTCATTTATATCTTACTAGTAGTTGAAATAGCTGTAAAATGCTAATATCGCCGGTTAATCATCATTAGCTTAATGATATTTTGGAGGATTTAAGTATAGCGCTCATCGCAAATTTAGCACTTATTTAAGGTTCTTAGAAACATACATTATATCGAATCAGCGTTTATCTGGACTTCCTTATGTGCTGTAAATTTGTCAAACTTTTTAAATAAAATCAAAATGTTATCACATTTTACGTCATTCCTTTGTAAACATAACATAAATTATCAATGAATTAGAATGATCGAATTCGTGTATTTTTTTATTTTCAGAGGCAGCCACAAAGTCGCCATTCACCGAGCAACCCGAACAATCATAACACTATACCTAAAAGTATTGTGACAGCCAATCAGTTGCCCGCTCCGGGCTTGCCTACGAAACTCGATGCTGAAGTAAGAAAGCTCTTTAATTATGCTAATGATATTAAGTTTTTTAATTCGAACGTTCTGTCATTGTTTTACGAAATTTCCCTTCCAGACGATAGTCTCTTATGAACTTTATTACTTGCGTGCTAATTTACCTTTATGAATTCTGCCTTTGAAGATTTTAATTTTACAAAGCAATGAAAGGCACAGATAAAATACCTAAAGGTCCTTCCACTTGCATGCACTGAGAAAACCAGTCAATTCATATAAACCTTAGGCAAGAAAGATGTATTTCTTTTTTTCTTTCATTTGAGTAAAGTTTGAAATTTGTTCATTTCTCAACCATTAAAGTATCAAGATTCCCCATTTATTCACTCTTAGTTATTTCTATAAAAATAACAAATGCTTGTTTTCTTTTAGTTCCCTTGTTAACCCCCTTCTTTAAATCTCGATGCCTTTGAATTGCGAAACCTTTCCTACTTTATTGAGTGAGAAAAGCTTATACAATGTGTAAGCCGAGACTCTAATTTTATATCTCTGCTTTTCTATATTTATTCTAGCAGACAAATGCAGCTCCCCCTATATTAAAGTACCATTTCTTAGCTGGAAAGAAAGCAGGCCAGTGTGAAATTTAAATATAAGCAAAATCGCAGCTTCAAATGCTTTTCCTTGTTCCTCGTTTGACATCTTAGCTATGAATAATACAATATTAGATACAGAGAATTAACATTAAAATTCATTAAATCCAAAGGGGCCTTTTTTTAACATTTTGTCTGTTACCTTTATTTATTAAGTATCACGTTCTTCGAACTTAAACCATAAAATTCAGTTCAAGAGCAATATCGCAAAATAGTTTTACACTGAGCATATCTTTAGAATTTCCGATACGCAGTCTCGCGCGCTGGAGATAAAAGTGTTTTTCCTGTACAACATTGCCATTGCTCTCTTTAAAATCCTTGAGTTTGTTAATCAAAAATTCGTTACAGATTTACAAAATATGAAATAGATAATAAAACAAATTCCAAATTTCAAATTTGGAATTTGTTTTATTATCTATAGAATTTCCTATAGAGTAGTTTTATTATCTATAGAATAGTTTTATTATCTATAGAATTTTATTATCTTTAGAATTTCCGATACACATGCCCATATTCGTAGGAGGATTACGTCATTCAAAATTCGATGTGATTCAAAATTCTATGTACCGTTGTTTTATCACAATGCGGGAAATAGACATACATTTATGCAGATTTTTCATTATTTAATGTTTTCAAGTATAATAATATAATGCAGGACTCTAACATTTCGTGGCAACAGTTTGAAAAGTGAAACGGACATTTATAGTGAACCAACGAAAAATCGGAAAACGAAACAACAGTCCTTCAGGGACAAACCCCCTTTGGACCGAAAGCTTTCAGATTTAACATTATGCCCAAAGGGGACTTTTTTAATGTTTTGTGTGCTACCTTTATTTATGCAATATCATGTTCTTCGCACTTAAACCATAAAATTCAGTTCAACAGCAATGTCGCGAACTAATTTGAAATCAGCATATCTTTAGAATTTCCGATACACAGTCTCGCGCGATAAAGATAAAAATGTTTTTTTTTTTTTTTTTTTTTTTTTTTTTCTTTCTTTCTTTTTCGTGCAGTGCCATATTGCTCGCGTTGAAATCCTTGAGTTTGTTAATCGAAAATTCGTTAAAGTTTTACGAAATATGAAATCGATAATAAAACAAATTCCAAATTTGGGCTTTCAAATGCCCATATTCGAGTGGAGGACTACATTATTTAGAATTTGATGTCTCTAGGTACGTTGTTTTATCACATTGCGAGAAACGTACATATATTAATGCACATTCTTCATTATTCAGTTTTTTTAAATACAATGCAGGGCTCTAATATTTAGTGGCAACAGTTAGAAAAGTGAACCGACATTTATAGTGAACCAACGCAAAATGCCAAAACGAAATTAACATTCCTTCTGGGGAAATTGATCCTTTGGACTAATAAAAAAAGTTGCAAAAGAACTTGCAAGAATTGTTAAGTCTACTAACATTAAAATAGCCAGTTCACGGACATTTCCTTCATTTCTAATTGTAATGTATGTCATCATTATCACACGGAGAGGTTAGAGAATTTTAACAAATTAAAGGGCTTGGTTCTCTTTTGTAGCAAATGTTATGGTTAGGAGATAAGCCAGAAGGAAAGAATGACGAGGAAATACCTATTTTAAAATAACAGCTTATTAATTTTATCGGTTTTTTTTTTTTTTTTTTTTTTTTTTTTTTTTTTTTTTTTTTTTTTAAACCACTGCTGTGATCTTTGTCAAACTACAGAATTTGAGATAAATCTTAACTTAAGAGTTCGTAGTTCATAATAGCGGTCACTGTGGAATTTGACACGGGTCGATGCTCTCATCGTTTTTGTTACTGGTAAATAAAATATACTTCTATCATCAGTTTCTTCCACAGTATCCACGGTGTAACAATTTTGACCAATTCTGGAAAATCTGAGAGCAATTGTATCACTTTCTCCTGTGTAGATGTTTTGGAAAGTTCGTTGAACGAAAGATCCTGCAGGGGCACTGAGGTTTAAAAATTAGGCTTTTTAAATATTGATGCCTCTTTTCAAACTGTTTTTCATTTATAAATGTAAGAAGAGGGTACAATAAATTCTAAACATCAGTCTGATTCTTTTCTCGAAACTCAAAGTATATTTTGCTGTTCAGTCTGGATAAAAAGAAAAATACCCTTTTGAAGAAAAAAGATCAGACTTAAAGAATTACCTAAATGGAAAGAAAATTAGTATTTTGAAATTTAAAAAGTTATAAATTACATGCATTAAGTTTCTGGCTTACGTAAATTCGAAGTTATGCAAGCGCACCCTAACATTCAAATTGAAATTTATGAATTGGAAATAAATAAAACCATATAAATAATTTCTCCTCTGCCCGACCTACACTTTTTTGAGTTCAGACAATATTCTTGTGATTATTGTTTAGTTTAGTTATTTGTTTATCACCATTAGAGCTCGTTAAACCCTTAAAGTAATGAAAATACTATGCCTATTGAATCTTCAAATCTAGTAGACGTTAAGAAATTTGCAACGAAGAGAGCAGCTGAGGCTTTTAACCTGTCGGATATGTTGCTATAAAAATTCGAATCGATGGATTTGAACATCAGCTGTTCAAGAACAAAAGCTTACCCATTCCGATTCATGTAGCTACAAGGCCATCTACGATGAGAAAAAAGCGTGTGACCACAAAATCTATCCTAGACATGTTTGTGAGGTGTCGCTCAGAACAGCTTCAAGATGATAACTCAGTGGATACTGACTGCTGTCGATCTTCAATATAAAAAAGATTAAAAGCTGACAAAGAGTAGTATTTCTCTTCACAACCATTCACCTTCAGTGCTGGCTTTCCTATTATAGAGCCACATTAGCTGCAGCGAGATAATTTTTGTTTGAAAATAATTATTACTTCTTTTGTTATATTTTCGTACGGAAATTGTGAATATCGTCGTGATATTCACAATACTGATAACATACACACGATTTGGGCCATGTCTTGCAACCAAAACCATACTGGGTAAGATCTAGTGACGTTGTTGACCAGATTTAAGGTTTTCCTTTGCCTCTAGGTTCCCTTTTTTTATTTTATTTTACTTTTATCATCATTATTATTATTGGAAACGTTATGTCAAGATCAGTCGGACATTCTAGGCAAAGTACGACTGACGACCATCCAACTGAAAGTATTCACACCACAGCATTGATATTAGAATGTCTATCAGACGTAAAATGCCATCACAAATAAATTTATCATTGTCAAAAAATCCATCAGTTTTGTTGGTGGCTCTATGCCGAACAGTGAGAATAAGACTGAATATTTCGTATTTACCCATCATATGAAGGTTCTCTGCTGCCTATGTGGGTTTACTAGCATTTCCACTTTCATGAAAGATCGTCTTGAACCTGAATATTACTAAGCGAATAATGTTATAGGGTTCAAAATTTGTTACCTTCAGAAAAATATTACAGAGATGTTACTGCGAGCTACTTTGCCCGTAAGGAAGACGGCTTGTATACCCTACACGGCACATCTCGAAAATATAATTCAACATAATTCGTACAGATGGCTGCTAATTCCACATTTTGCTGTAAATCATCTTGTTGATGTTTGGAATCAAGCAAAAAACTCTTTTTTGTGGCAGCTTCGCTCACAAGAGATCGACCTGATCGTCGATGACAGCTGTCTGTAACAAAGCCGGCCTAGGTGAACTTTTAAAAATTTTTATATCACTGATCGCAGTGACGGCTTGCTGTTTCATTGCTCTAGAACAATGAACAATCCGGTACTTCTCAATTTTTAAGGTAAATCATAATTTCAACTGGAGTGCACCGAAGCCCTAAATAAAAGGACTCAGGCACTTGTTTTACGTAAGTGAATCACAATGTTAGCAAAAAAATTAATTTTAATAATAAAATATGCCTTAAAAATCGGTTCTAATTTCTGAATACATGCCTGTCTTTCTCTCGGAGACAAACCTTGGACAAAGGTTGGGACTTTTAAGAAAAAAAGAGCCCCATCCGCATGGAAAAGGCTTATTCTTGGCGAAGTGCAATGAATTTATGAAGCGGGTTAATTTTTGTTTTTAAAAGTATTAAAAATAATCATCCTAGTCGTAGAAGTGCCGTGCTAGTAATTTCCTGTTGCAGAGCTCCTGCGGCTTTTTGAACGATCCAACCAAACGCACGGGACGACTACTGTCAATTGTATAGAGGAGTCGTTCGTTTATTCTCACGTTGTTATCGGATGAAATTCTGGGGAAATTTCTGCTTGACGGCTAGAATTACATCGACAGGGCATAGCGATCTGAAAGTCTTGGACTCTTCCCGCTTTATTTTCAGATCTACGCTTTTCCTTTTAAATTTCCTTCCATATCCTCATACAGTTTCCAGAGTTCTCATTATTCTGCTTCGTGACGCTTTAACCGTTTTATCTTTCTCCATTAGTCTTCTGAAAAAGGGAATGTTTTTGTACTTATCTTCTCTTGAAACAGAACATAATATGTATAAACAGGGCTTAAATTCAGACGACGATCGCCTGAGCTACTACTCTGGGTGGAATTGTAATTCCAACCACAGCCCCAAATAAGGCAAGGTGCTATAAATTAATTGTAACTAAACTATTTGTAATTAATTTCATAATTTATTAAATTTCTATTTATATATTTATATTTCATTTAATTTTAATTTGCTTCTTTAATTATTTTAATTTTTAGTTATCTATTTTATTTCATTTTTATTAGTCCGGAGGTGCTGTGTCCCTGAGAGACTATTGTTTTCGTTTCGCGATTTTGCACCGAATCACTCTGAATGTCCATTTCACCTTTTAGACTGTTGCCACCAAATTTTATCGCTTTGTATTATATTTGAAGGAATTAAATAATGAAGAATTTGCATAAATGTATGTATGTTTCTCGCATTGTGATAAAACAACGGTACCTAGAACCATCCAGTTTTGAATGACGTACTCCTACAGCGAATATGGGCATCTGTAAGACCAAATTTGAAATTTGGAATTTGTTTTATGATCGATTTCCTATTTCGTAAAACTTTAACAAATTTTTTATTAACAAACTCAAGGATTTCAAAGCGACCGTGTCAAATTCCACAGTGACCGCTATTATGAACTACGAACTCTTAAGTTAAGATTTATCTCAAATTCTGTAGTTTGACAAAGATCACAGCAGTGGTTAAAAAAAAAAAAAAAAAAAAAAAAAAAAAAAAAAAAAAAAAAAAACCGATAAAATTAATAAGCTGTTATTTTAAAATAGGTATTTCCTCGTCATTCTTTCCTTCTGGCTTATCTCCTAACCATAACATTTGCTACAAAAGAGAACCAAGCCCTTTAATTTGTTAAAATTCTCTAACCTCTCCGTGTGATAATGATGACATACATTACAATTAGAAATGAAGGAAATGTCCGTGAACTGGCTATTTTAATGTTAGTAGACTTAACAATTCTTGCAAGTTCTTTTGCAACTTTTTTTTGCAAAACTTTTTTATTAGTCCAAAGGATCAATTTTTCCCAGAAGGAATTTTAATTTCGTTTTGGCATTTTGCGTTGGTTCACTATAAAATTCGGTTCACTTTTCTAACTGTTGTTGCCACTAAATATTAGAGCCCTGCATTGTATTTAAAAAAACTGAATAATGAAGAATGTGCATTAATATATGTACGTTCTCGCAATGTGATAAAAAACAAGTACCTAGAGACATCAAATTCTAAATAATGTAGTCCTCCACTCGAATATGGGCATTTGAAAGCCCAAATTTGGAATTTGTTTTATTATCGATTTCATATTTCGTAAAACTTTAACGAAATTTCGATTAACAAACTCAAGGATTTCAACGCGAGCAATATGGCACTGCACGAAAAAGAAAGGAAGAAAAAAAAAAAAAAAAAACATTTTTATCTTTATCGCGCGAGACTGTGTATCGGAAATTCTAAAGATATGCTGATTTCAAATTAGTTCGCGACATTGCTGTTGAACTGAATTTTATGGTTTAAGTGCGAAGAACATGATATCGCATAAATAAAGGTAGCACACAAAACATTAAAAAAGTCCCCTTTGGGCATAATGTTAAATCTGAAAGCTTTCGGTCCAAAGGGGGTTTGTCCCTGAAGGACTGTTGTTTCGTTTTCCGATTTTTCGTTGGTTCACTATAAATGTCCGTTTTCACTTTTCAAACTGTTTGCCACGAAATGTTAGAGTCCTGCATTATATTATTATACTTGAAAACATTAAATAATGAAAAATCTGCATAAATGTATGTCTATTTCCCGCATTGTGATAAAACAACGGTACTAGAATTTTGAATCACATCGAATTTTGAATGACGTAATCCTCCTACGAATATGGGCATGTGTATCGGAAATTCTAAAGATAATAAAATTCTATAGATAATAAAAACTACTTCTACTAGATAAAAACTACTCTATAGGAAAATAATAAAACAAATTCCAAATTTGAAATTTGGAATTTGTTTTATTATCTATTTCATATTTTGTAAATCTGTAACGAATTTTTGATTAACAAACTCAAGGATTTCAAAGAGAGCAATGGCAATGTTGTACAGAAAAAGCACTTTTATCTCCAGCGCGTGAGACTCTGTATCAGAAATTCTAAAGATATGCTCAATTTAAAATTATTTTGAGATATTGCTCTTGAACTGAATTTCATAGTTTAAGTGCAAAGAATATGATATTTAATAAATAAAAGTAGTACACAAAATGTTAAAAACGTCCCTTTGAGCATAATTTAAAATCTAAAACCTTTCAAATTTTCTTTTTATTTTTAAGTTTTTTAGTTATTTGTTTTGTTTCATTTCTAATTAGTTTTTTTTCTTCCACCCTGACATCTTCCATAGGGCAATGAAGCTTCAAATTTAGAAATTAAGCGCTGCATTAGAAGCATACATACTTTGAGTTTCATTCATCGAAGCAGGTTACAAAATGTGAAAAATATTCTAATGGCTTTTATGCTTCGCACTGCTTTGTATACACGAAGTTAACAGCTTTGCGTAGCGAAATTGCAATTCTGAAATCAGATGGGAAGATTTTCTCCGTTATGTTCTAGACTGCGCCACCTAACGGTAAAATGACTATTTTAACGTGCGGCGAATTCTAAATGCTCATTTACACTTTACATTATCAAGAAAAATAATCGTTTTACATTCCGATGGAGGTATGCAGAGAATTTGGAATGTATTTGTAAATGTTTAGATAATAAAGTCTCAAAAAATTTCCAGTTTTCTCGTTACTCATTATTTTCACGTAACAAAAGAAACATGCAAGCAAATAAAAGCAGAAATTTCAGTTGCAATAGGATTGAGCTTCAGATAATTCTTTAAATGTAAAAAAAGTTATTTTCGCCGCAGAAAACGATGATGGAGGTTAAAACAAAGAGCAAATGATAGCAATTAAGATCGAAAATAAATTTTTGTTGAATATTTTTTAAGTAATTTCATTTCTGGCAAAAGCAAATGATGACAACCCTATAAACAGTTTTTCTCATGGTATTTATTTGTAAATAGTAACGATATCTCATGTTATTAAGAAATGAGGAAACCATTGGATTGGCTTAGTAGTGGCCTAGGTTAAGTCGGCTGAGGGCCTGCATTGGTAAAAAATATATATATATATGTTTCGATTCTGCCAAATTAAGAAAATTGTCTGAAAAGAGCCCGGAACTGTTTCTATGCAACCTTTTGAATATATCATATAAAAGCGGTATCTTCTCAATGTCGTTTAAAGTCCACACCACAGTCGCAGCTAAAACATTGGATAACATCCATCACTAATCCATTATCCAATCCATCGTCCATCATCCAATCTCATGATCTAACTAGTTCTGGTTACAGTATTATTTGTTTCAAATACTTGAATTATGCCACTTTATTTTCAGGAGCAGTCGAACATTGCAAAGTTGGGTCTTGAGATGAAACAACTGACATCAGAAATGGACGCAGAAACAGATAAGTGGCCAACGGCGGACAATGATATTGTGCGCAGAGCTAAAACCATGTCTCAGATGGCCTTCTCCATGTACCAGTTCACTAGAGGAGAAGGAGAACTGAAAACAACTCAGGTCTCGCATTTACATTCAATCTTTGCTCCATTAATAATAAATATTACGTATATTTTACGCAGTCTTTTAACTGAAATTTAACTTCCAAAGCTATATGGTAGTAAAAATGAAAAAAGGTATAGTTTTAAGCATTTTAAAATTACCGATGTCTGTGTTTTATTGATGAAGTTCTATGTTTTATTGTGTATGTTAAAAATCATGCAAGGATCCAGACAATTTTAACAAATAATTTCTTTCAAATTTTGAATTTATAGCCTAAGTATTCTTTAAGTAACACAAAAATAAATGCGATTTATTTTTGTATTGCTTAGATTCCCGTTTAAGCAGCCTGTATGGGACTAAATCATAGTAGGATAAATGAATGGCTAGTAATTCAAAAAAGACGCAAAATAGCAGTTATTGGTTTTAAATTGAGTTAAAAAGTGAAAATTTATTATTATGCCCTTATCGGGAAAACTTAACTGTGATCTTTAGATTATCGGATTGATATGCTGACCGCTGGGCAACAAAAGCACATAAAAGTAACGCTTTTAATTCTTAACAATTCAATATTTGAATGCTTAATTTAAACAGGTAATTTCTATTTTCTTTTTGTATTATGCATTCTATTTTATTCTCCATTATTTTTACGTTGCAATGCCTTTTAGTTCACTTCAATCGACAAAGCTTTGCGTTTCTGCTTATGGAAGTTTATCATTTCATATTGACATAAATTCAAAACAAAACAATATGAACTAATGAAACAAAATTCTGTAGAACTTGGAGTTTCTAACTGCTGCTGGCATGAAGTTTTAGTAGTTTTAACCAGGGTCACTAAGAATATTGCCTCAGAACCATTCACGATAATTAAAATATTAAGTGCAACTTCAATGTTCGTTTAAAATGTTGAAAATTGAGTTCGATAAGTGATAAACATCAAAGAATACGATTTCAGCGTATGAGCTCCTGGGTTTAATGTATGCCTTCATCTTTCTAGGGGAATGCAAAATGAGATGGTAAAAGTCTTTACACAAAGTACTGCCATCGAATAAACACAAATAACAGCCAATAAATGAAGAGTTAGCTTTCAAAGCTGTGGTTAGCAGTGCTGTTCCTTAATTTTACTTTTGAACAAAATAATAATATGTTTTTTTAGAAATGGAAATGGAAATTTACTTCGAAACAAAAAAGGATCTTGATTAAACTATGACCCGGCTTAAGCGTGCTTGGATAAGAAGTTTGGTCTTTATCACGTATGAGTTACTTTTTATAAGTACATCTAAGATCCTCGTTTAAGAGAATCCAGTTAATTTCGTTGATGATTTCTTCATCTGTATATCCGTCAGCGCTGCACAGGTGTAAGGAATACTCTCATTTTTAAATTACATCCCTGTCACTCCGTCGTTACTGCCAAGTCTGTTTTACTACTATTGGACGCATATGTGAAAATTACGGCAAAAATTGCCCAGAAGAAACTCTTGTCAATGATGCCATAAGTAAACAATTTATGTATCTTTTCATGCCGTCTTTCTTATGTCTGTGTCTCCGTATCACTTATGTCCATATATCCCTGTACAATTTTTTTTTATTATAATTTGCTCTAACGCTTCCATGTGAGTTCTGAATCACTCTGTATGTAAAGCAATATTTAGAAAACTGTAACATGTTTTGACATCATGTATCAGAATATTAGATTCTTTCCATTTTAAAAAATTTCTTTGCATAGAAACTGCATGTTCACGTACGTTTTGGAAAACTGGCAATATATTGCCTTTTAATCGCCTTAAGTGCAACCGTTTTTCCGCAATGTGAAGTACATACATACAAATTCTTGTCAATTATTTAATAATAGAATAATATTTAATAATAGAAATTAAATTTCTACCCTTTCTGTTTAGTCTATATATTTGGTTATTTATGAAATGGCAGATTAAAAGTTTGGAAAACTATCCATACTTTATAATGTTCCTCTATACTTGAACGTAGAGGAACTGACTGAACTGTGGAACAGCGTATCCCTGAGTTCAAGTAGGTAAGTCAAGAGAAGGTCTGTAATAAGCTTTATTCACTCAATATTTACAGACGGCCCCATTCTCGGGCGTACAGGGATGACTCCCCTCGGGCTTCAAATCAAGATAAGAAAAATAAGAAACTAATCTAATACTAAATTAAACTGACTTAGTCGAAGCTAAATACAAATACCTAACTTAATTCGTCCTTAATTTAACCTAGCTGGCGATTATCAACAGGCACTTACAATGCGGCCAAACGTAGTAGATTTAATAACGAAGTAGCCTGACGGCAAACACATGCCACTAAGGACTCCTAAGCTCTCTCTCCTTGAAGTAAGCTGAAGCTTCTTAAATACTCCTTCTAACTCACTTGCATAAAACGCGTTCCTAAAACCTCGATCTGGCAGGGAATAATAGATGCGAAACGAGAATAGACAGTAAAGCATGTTTAAAATTAAAATATATGCTAGAAACGTAAAGTAACCTCAACACCTTCATTAGCAAGCATCTCTGTAGCGCTAGGAGATATTTTTTTCCCATCATGTATTTCTAAGACTTTTTTATTATATCTTCATTGCAAAAGTTTCTTTATTGATCCAAAACGTGTAGTCATTATATTATTTATGTGCCATTAACAAAATAAAGCTTTAACAGGATAACTCAATTGGAGTAAAAGGCACTACAAATAATATTAAGCTATGTTACAGTCTAAATCTTCATCAACTCTCAGTAACTACCAGAAGTACTGTTACGTGAAACTGTGGAATGCTGGACACTGTAGATGCTGTACATTCAATAGCGTCTCTTTCATATTGTCAGAACATGGGCTGTCATAGATACCAGGCTTTACGGGTATTTTTGTAAACAGCCATTATCCTTGATTTAACCTTGTCATTTTTAAAAGCAAGAAAAAAAACACTGTATTGGATTGCAAGGCCTCAGCAAGATTTCTAAGTGATGATTTTAATAGGAACTTGATAGTTTTTTTAACCTTGGCTGGCAAAATTACCATTTACATTGAAACTTAATACTTTTCTGAAATGTCAACTTAAAATGCGTTTCTGAAATTAACTGAGATTTTTTTTTTCTGGTCTCATTAATTGCAGCAGATTCTAGCAAAAAATATCTGTTACCTTTAAAGTCTCGCAGTAATATTTGTATAAATCTCAGATATTATTTTCATGGAAATTCCACACTGAGTTAATTTATCACTGTTTCGTTTCATTTATTTGTAAGTAATACACGAAGTAAATTTGCAGTAAATTTATTCGGTAAGTATGTAGCTAATTAAAATCAAATTCATAATAATTTATAATGATCTTTAATACTGCAAAGAGTTCAAACGCGTTAAGTAGCATGCTTTTAGAATACAATACTTTTTTTTTTTTTTTTTTTTTTTTTTTTTTTTTTTTGGTTAGCCGATAATGTTTAATATTTATAACGTTAAAATATTTGAAAACGATACTTTTGAAGATTGTATTTATGAAAAACGACGAGATAATAAATTATTCAGAATCATGAACATAAAACGAAAAGCATCGGGAAAAACATTTACTTTTTTTTCTTTTACATTGAAGATTACTTCGCTTTTCCGTGCTTAATTGAATAAAGATTAGCCATTAGAGTTGAGGTGAATTTTTTCCCGATCTTCTTTTTTTATTAAATACATACTCCTACGTGAAGTTTTACAAATACGGAGGAGAAAAGTATCCCTTAATGGAATAAATATTATGAGAAGCATTTTTTAACATTAACAATGGCTTTTAATACAAACGCTGATGCATAAATTTGGTTTCCTATACCGTTGTATGAGCTTTTATTATATTTTTTAAAACAAATGTTGTCTTTAAGCTTATATTTTATTTGTTTTCCACTAAATATTATACTGGTCGAATGGAATTATTTGAAATATCGTCAAACGTTTTGTTCTTGAAATTTAATAAAATGTGAACTTTTATGCAGCATTGCTGTTAAATCCAACAAGGTCATTTACAAAAGAAATTTAGTGGAACGTTATTGGGAGTTTTGCATAGTAAACCTACTGAGAAATGTGTAGCGCCATTTTGAGTTTCTTTTTTTTCCCCTGAAGCTCGAGACTGGAAAAATGTGCAGTGCCCTCGCCGGAACTCGAACCCTGGATCTCTCGAATACACTTTGAGTATGCTTCCAATACAAATCTGCAATGCCATCATGACTGGGATCCGATCCGTGACTCTTCAAATACGCGTCGAGTTTGCTTCCAATTACACCAGGAAGTTATGTGGAAAGAAGGAAAAACATACACATTGCGGTAGGAATTCTGCAGAATGCCAAATGACAAACCGCCAAAGTACGAAATACCTTTCTGTATTATATACAGTGCCTAAAGAAAGTACCTCATAATTCATGCAATATATTGCCAGTTGTAGTGAGTTAACAGAGGATGTTTCTGCCGACTTGGAACTTCTGAAAGAATTTTGGAACAACTATATACGAGATCACGGCTCATTTTACATTCTAAGAGCTTGCTTAGAATTGAAGATATTCCTGACCGCGAAATTTGTCTCCAGATAGTTGCAGTTGCTCATCCCAATAGAAGTGGCCAAGAATTCGTCAAGTATTTGTGTGAAACAGTGTTGTAACAGATAGCTGAATTTCACTTTTTTTACTTCTTATATGAAATTTCGTTTTATTTAATAAGAAATGCATGAATTTTGTTTTTCTTTTATTTCATTTTTCTTTATTTATTTTGAATAAAAAAATTTTAATGGCATTCTTTCATTATTTTATGATAATAACATTTATATTTTTTAAGAATGTCCGTGTTTTAAATAATAGTCTTACCATCACATTTTTCATACTTTTCCTAAATAGATTTTATAATTAGATAGAATGCCTAGATACTATATACAATGCCTGCTTTTATACTTTGGCGGTAACATATCCGTTTGACAATACTGTGTGCAACGGCGATTTAAAGGCATTAAACGCTCTTTGTTCGTTGTCTGAAACAATATCCCCCGGAAAAAAAAAAAAAAGAAAAGAAAAGAAAAAAGAAAAAATACTTCTCGAAACTGTGACAATGTTTTGAATGACTACATCACATGCTATTTGTCCGTTTGCATGGCGCTAACTGAACAAAAATTTTATTCATTTGGTTAAAATGCACATCTGCCTTCACTCATAACACTGTATAAGGTATTTCTCCCGCCTTCTTAGCGAGCCTTCGTGGTGTAGTGGTCTGCATGCTCAGCGTGTAATTGAGAGGTCCGCGGTTCGATTCCCGGCGAAGGCGTTGCTAATTTTTCATCTTGCCTGCTTCCAAAAATACCTAATGTGTCTACAACTGAATTCAAATATGAACATGATTCTGTGCCAATTTCTCTGTCAGGGACTAGTTATAAAATACTTACTACATTTACCATCATTTTCAGACTGGCAATTTTGTTATTTGTATATAAAAACAAAATTATCGATTTATGTTATGTTAAATTCAATGAATAACTAATTATTTTTCAGAAAGTAAATTTAATTTTCTCTTCTCCTAAAAGACGAGAGAGGGAATATTGAAAAAAAATGTGTTCATTTTTCGTTTCAGGATTTATTCACACAAGCAGAGTTCTTCGCTGAAGAAGCGAACAGGTTTTATAAGGTTGTTAGGCATTTTTCATATCAGGTGAGATATTTATTTCTTTTCATGTACGACATTCAAGAGTGTGAAATGTAGAATGCATATGATGAGCAATTTTCCTGTTAGCTCTTCCACAGTATTCACTCTTTTTTGTCAAGAGATAATATGCATATATCACAAAATTTACATAGTCCAAATTAGTCCGAGTTGCATATTTTCTACATATTATTTTATCAAACGGAATTCTCTTGCATGGTACCCAAACATGAAATTTAATTCCTCTTAGTAAGTCCACCTCGAAGGCATCCTTTTCTCAGCAGATAGTTCTTGCATGCTTTTCCATGAGCTTTCAAAAAACGAACTAATTAAAAAGATTAAACAAATTATTAATAAGTTAATTAAAAAATGTTATTTACTGCACTTTATAATGAATATAATATATTAAACGCTTCATTTCTGTTCGTTTATTACTATTGCCTAATACACTGATTTTTGTATGGTTATTTATTTATATTTATTCTATGCAAATACTATACACACACACATATATATACATATATATGTATATATATAAACAAGGTTTAAAAATTTCAAAATTAAGATTATAAAAAACGCACAATATGCTGAGAAATTAATTAAATAATCAAGATATATTCATAATTACATCAGAACTGGTGGTTAACAATCTAACAGGAAGAACCTGCATCAAAATTGAAACAAAAACAGAACAACTTAATAAAATAACATAATAAAAACTTTAAAAAGTAAAGGGTTAAAAATAAAAATTCTTTTGTCTTTTTCAAGAAGCAGCCGAAAAATTTTACGACAAAGGCAAGTTTCTGAATTATATCTGGCTGATTGTAAATTCATGAAATAAATCAGAGGTAAGCGCCAAATAAGAAAACAAATTAAATTAATTAAAATTTTATAATACAAATAAGGAATGCAATAAAATAAAAAATAGAGATTTTTTTTAGTCTTTTTAATAAATTATCAAGATATAACCTGCTTCAACGTTAATTAAGTGCCAAATAAAATACAAATCAAATTAATTTTTATAAGACAAATAAAAATGCAGTAAAATAAAAAAGAATTAATTCTTTAGCCTTTTTAATAAATCATCAAAATATAATCTGCTCTGACATGAATTAAAACAAGTAATACGGTAGAAAATTTAAAGACTGTAAAATATCTAATTTTTTCAAAATGTAAGTAACTACATAATTTAGAATAATGTTTTAATTTAAATAAAGATATTAACTGTGACTTAATATAAATGAACTTAATTCTGCATTTCTTAATCCTAATCTCATAGCAGACCTAGCTGTTTCTGAAATTGTCATCGATTTGTTTTTATTGTTTTGTGCATTTCTTATTTTTAATTATACTAGTAAATAAAGTATTTATCTTTTTAGAGTTTTAATTTCAAGCATTTTTAGCAAAACAATTCAGCCTTTTTTAATTCTTTTTTTATTTTATTTGACATTCTAACCTGGGGTAACATAGATTTCTTACACAATAATGCACGTACATTCTTAGTAATTAAAAAATATTAATTGATAACCGTAATTTAGTTTAAGAATATCATTAAAGAGTATTTTTGTCGATATTTAGTTACATTACAAGAATTCATATAATTATCTTAAAGGGCATTTTTAATGCCATATGGTATGCAAATAAACTATAGAATTAGTTTGCGTCATTTGAAATTGAATCATCCATGCTTCATTTGAAATTGAAATTTTTATGTGCATTAGAGATGGGTAAAACCGCTCGTTATAAGATCGGATCATTAACGTTCGCTCACTGAACTGAATTCAGTTCCGACTCCCCGCTCAGCAATGATAACCTTCATGGAAAACATCTGGAACGAGAAGTGAATCAAGATCGGTTAGCGAAGAGTGGAAAGAATCGACTGAGAATGGTATCGGGAAAGGTTAACCAGGCTGAAGTGAAAATAGAACGAACATTGTGATGAAAAGAATCGATTCAATCAAACCCTACACTCAAAGCTGATTTTTTTTTCAACTGTAGTTTTGAAATTCCCTAAAACGTCATCTCTACATAGAACTAACTATAAAATTATGGACTAAAAGTAAATGTCAAAAAGTTGGGTGTTGCTTAAAGTTCAACTCGCTTTAACATGGGAGAATTAAACATTCTTTTTTGCCCTAAAGTGGGAATCTAACTTTCTTGGCATATTTCCAACAAAAGCTGAACAAAATTGGCTAATCGATAGAAATTATGAATAGAGATGGTCCAAGTGTAATGGCGAAACATTTAGAGTAGCATGGGAACCTTACATATCTTATGTATATCTGAAACGTGTAATGGCGAAAGATTTAGACTAAATATGGGAGCGTTACATATCTTTTGTATACCTGAAAAGTGAAAAACATATATAATATAATTCTGTAAAAATATTAAACGTTTTTAATTATATATATCATGAGTTAAATGCATTTTTATTTTAATCAATCCAATTAAAAGTAAGAAAATAATATCTTTAAGAACTGCTTTTAAATAGCTTAGTTCATTAATCAGTAACACACAGATTCAATTTAAAAGATAAATATCTTACATTTTACCGAATGGCAATAGACTCTAATGAAAAAATGAAACAACTCAAAATTATCTTTCGAAAATAATAGCCCTTTTGAATTAAAAAGAAGGAAAATAGTCATTTTTAATTTATGGCAGATTAATTAATTCTCTTTTAACTCTTTGATTCTCGTATATGCCTTCTTTAAGCGCAAAGTTTAATTTAAAATATTGGATTTATTTAATTACCGAAAATTTTTAATAGAAGACTTGAATATAATTAAGACATTCTGATATTACGTTCAGAAATGAAATCATTCATAATTAACTCATATTGGACAAAATGCAAAATGAAAAGAAATTAAATCAGTTTTATCAGATAACCTTGATAGTTCTTTGATACAACTACAGTAGCTACAACTACAGTTAAATTTAGCTATAGAGTAGGTAATTCGGTATATAGCATTAATACGATACAGATCCCTGGGCGTATATCAAACGAACTTTTCCAATAAAGGGAAAATAATGAATCCATCCTTATAGAAAACTTCCATTGTTATTTTTATAACTTTTTTAATACTAAAATGCAAATGTAGCGAATGAAATATATACTATAGATAAATTAAGCACTGCACATTAAATTTTTGCATAAATGTTTTTCAGCAATCTAAACTAAGAACAATTTGTCAATATGCTGTAACGTCTCTGATTTTTCTCTGGTTATCGATCTCCCCAGCTTAGCAATGTTAGTCGATTTAATAGCGCCTTTGCTTTGTACAGTCGCAGACAACATCGTACTCGGCATAGGGTATGCAATATCCGTATTCCAAATACGCATGCCATCTTTATGCTTTTCAGCAATCTCTCTAATAATCTTCCTGGTGATCCTAACAATTGTATTCGTTGCTTGACTATTTTCATTAACTGTTCTAAAATTTATTGTTAATGAATTTACAAAACCTTTACACGGAAAAATACAAAATCATTTGAAAATTCACAGTGATAACCCGAGTTGTATAATGAAAACAACTCGGTTTATTGCTGCCCATGAGCGTCAATGGGCAGCTATAGTATTGCTTCCAAAGAAGTAAACAAGTTTAGCGTGCGCAGTCGTGACTAATCGAACTCGAGCTACATTCCAGACAAATGTCTTACACCAAATAAAAATTTTCGCTTCCAAATGGGAACATATACCAAGTAGGATATATTGAAAAGCGAACGTATGCCATACCGAGATACCACTATATTAGATTTATCTTTTTATCTTTCCTTCATAGTAGGCGATTAGTATTGCTATATCTTTGGTGCACATGACAGTGTGATTGACGTATTTCTCTTTTAGCATGTTATTTGTTCCTCTCTATGTGCAGGTACCAGGCGGTTCGAATAAGAAGGAGATGCTAGAAAACTTAGATCGTGTTCCCACCTTTGTTCAACAACTTCAATTCACAGTCAAAAACACGACAGTGGGAAAAGCTGCAACTTTTACCAAAGTAAATATTTCGTGTTGCTTTAGAATAAATAGTACTATTATATTTTTATTCACGTGTAGTTAACATTTAAGAGTTAAATTTTACCCAAATTAATAATAAAAATATCTTAATAATGAAAAATACAGAATCATTTGATAATTCACAGGTGATAACGCGAGTTGTTTTTTGCATGCTCATGCTCATTGGCAGCTATAACATTGCTGCTTATGAGCATCAGTATGCTCGGGTCCTTTGATACGACATTCAACGTCACTGACCACTAAACCGTCTGGCCGACAATGCCATTCAATAGAAGGCAAAATCAAAATTTAGATATGCATACAGAATGAAAAAAAAAATCTGAAAGGTTTCAGATTTTAAATTACGTCCAAAGGGGCGTTTTTCTAGCATATCTTTAGAATTTCCGATACACAGTCCCACGCGCTGGAGATAAAAAATTTTTGATAAAAAAAAGTTAATTAGTATAGTAATTTTCCTCCGTAGAGTGTTGCCATTGCTCTCTTTGAAATCCTTGAGTTTGTTAATCAAAAATTCGTTAAAGTTTTACAAAATATGAAATCGATCATAAAACAAATTCCAAATTTAAAATTGGGTCTTCCACATGCCCATATTCGTAGGAGGATTACGTCATTCAAAAATTCGATGGCTCTATGTACCGTTGTTTTATCACAATGCGAGAAATAGACATACACTTATGCAGATTTTTGATTATTTAATTTCTTCAAATATAATACAGAGCTATAAAATTTGGTGGCAACAGTTGAAAAAGTTAAACGGACATTTATAGTGATTCAACGCAAAATCGCAAAACGAAAACAACAGTCCTTCAGGGACAAAGCCCCTTTGGACTAAAAACGAAATGATTTCTTTCAAATTATTTTTTAATATTTTTTTAGGAAGAATGTAAATAAGCCTATTAATCAATAAAAACGCGTATTATTATTATCCAAGCGCATTATTATTTGATATTTATGCGCATTATTATTTGATAAGGGCAGATAATTATACATAAAATATATGTATTCAATATATTATTCTTTGTGCTGATCAGCTTCTTAAAATGATTCCTTCTGAAAGCAAGCAGTTCTGAGAACATAAATAAACTCTGTTATTGCACATCATCCCTTTAAAACACACAGTTCCACAGACTGCAGAGTGTGGGCAACTAACATGTGAATGGAACCGAAGTGAAACATTAACAAAAAAATAAATAAACTATAAATAAACGAACCTAAACTGAAACTCTCAACTCTTAAAATAAATAAATCTTCACAGCGAACCTTGAGAAAGCAAGTGACTTGTTTCCAACTGAAAAAAATCAGATGGTCCACTTATAGGATAAATCCACTTATAGGAAGTGCTTAAATTTTGCTTTTTGCTTTGATTCTGAAACCATATTGTTAGTACCGTCTTAAGATAGTGCTCCTTCAAACTTCCCATATTAGGAGACCCATAAAACTGTAATTTTCATTTATGTAAACCCTGTTCTCTTCAGAAACAAAAATGATACAAAAGATTTGAAAGTATATCACATAATATTTAATACAATTTTATAAAGAAAATCATTAGTTCCTGACAATGTTGTTCATAAAAGCAGATCTACTTTATATTGCACTGGCTTCCAAAAACTAAGCACGCGATGCAAATTAACAGTTTTCGAAAGCGTAATTGAACTTGAGGAGCTGAAAATCGCTGCAGACGCAGGTGGGTATGTAAATATCGTACGTTGCAGCCTATCATGAGTGACTGCCCGAACCATTAGTCAACTAGGCAGTCGTTGAAAACACCAGCATTCTGAAGGATTTGAGAAGGTTCATTTAAATGCTGATATAAAGTGTTTAAAACTTTCATAGGGTGATTTTTGATGATATTTGTATTTATGTTTCTGAAAGAAGAGAAATGGCAGATAGTGAAAGTTGGCCTGCTGTTGGACTCATTAAAGCAGGACAGATAATCAAAGATGGCCCTGTTTTCTTTGACATTCATCAATCGTCAATTTTTCGAATGTGGAAACAATATGTCAAATAGTTGACCAGGTATGTCAAACAATTGTCAAAAGACCTATGCTCGGTCGATGATAACATATCATCTGAAGATCGTACATTAATACAGTAACCAAGTGGAATTAATGAGCGACCGCCATAACTATTACATCCATATTCCTGTTCCACTAACCAATCGAATGCAGAAAAGCAAGATTATAGCGGTGCCGTCGATGTCTCAGTTGGACTGTCTCATATTGTCGCAGCATACTGTTCATGGACAACAAGATTACGGCGGTGCCGTCGATTTCTCAGTTGGACTGTCTCATATTGTCGCAACATACTGTTCATGGACGAGTCCAGATTTGCTTTGGAATAAGATGATAAGCGGGTAAGGCTATGGAGAGAACAGTGTATACGGAATCAGGCCCATCATTGAACCACTGAATTCACCAACGTTCATGTTCAACGACTTTAAAAAGTATGAAGAGCTGTGAAGTGATATCTTAGTACATTGCACTGTTCACTGTAGCTTAAAATACTATTCAACAATGAAAACAACTACTAAATACTGTTTCACAATAAAAAAAATTTCCTACTTTGGGGAAAACAATATCTCTATTTAGAAACACAAATATAAGACACAAACACAGATGATATAACTATTACAACTGCAAATTCGATTTACAATAAGATGTTTACTTAATGTTCTTGATTTTTTTTATCTCTCTATCTTTTTTATCGTCTGAACAAAATTAGTTATTAGTTCCTTCTTTCCAGGTGGACAACGTGATCAAAGAGACCAAAAACCTAATGAATGCCATCTCTAAAGTAGTTACAACTTGTTTAGTTTGCGCCACAAAGGTAAATTAGCTTCTTCTTTGAATAATTTTGGAAAATTGTGTTTAAGCGAAGAATCCTATTCACATGAATTTCACACTAGTCTAGTAGAAAATTTATTTTATTAACATTACTATCAAGATGGGCGTATAAATATGGCTGTATTTCTTATTTCTGAAAAGCATAAAACCATTTTACTTCGCCCATCCTGTAGAACATATTTTTAACAAACTTTTTGTCTCCATTTTTTCTTAACTAATATTAGTCCATCCATATCAATGGATACCACACGCAAGTAAGTGTGTTTAAGCTCTGAGTTTCCTATTATACAAATAATTTCTGAATTTAATAAATTTCCAAGTAAAAGAGGTTTCACTTTGTGTATGTTTCACACAGAGATCAAATCCAAAATACATTCGTATGCAGAATTAATTCACGAGGTTCGGAACCTCGTGAACACTTAAGCGAGTAATCGCTTTAGTTCATAAACAGATATGTAAAACTCAAGAAGGGTTAATTAGTCTTTATTTCTCAAAATAAGAATTTCACAGAATTTCTCAGAGCGTACAGCAAAGCCTCCACTTGGGCTTGAACTCAGATTAATAAGAAATCAAACTTAACTAAAGCTTAACTAAAAAGCTTAACTAAAAGGCCGAAGCTATCAAGATTTTTTAGTAGTTGGCCTCTAATTATCAACTAAGCTGGAGAAGCTATGAAGAGCCTGAGATACGACCGAGTGTAGTAATAGCTTAGAGAGAGTGTAGTCAAAAGACGAACGGCTCTAGTCAGAAATTCTGGCTCTCTAACGAAGTCGGTGGAATACCGCTCATACGCGATTGCATTAAACGCGATTCTAAAAACACATTCTGATAGGATACTGTAAGTTTAAATTAGGAGAGACAGGAAAGTAGCTTTAACTAAAGTGTTAAAAACTTAGGATAAACCTTACAACCTTATGGAATTTATTTGTCGAATGTCGTCGTCTAAAACTCGTGTGTTATCCCTTGAGGATCACAGCTCAGCAGACACAAGCACATGTAAGCTTACGTATTCGACTCTGAATATTTGCATAATTTTTCGGTTGCATAATTATCTTCAGTTCAATCATTTTTATAAAATTATGCATAATTTGTAAATTCTCATAATTTTGTACTCAAGTGTATTTAATATCCCCATGTTCTTCTAAATATGACATTTGAATTGTCGACATTTATTTAAATTTATGCAAGATTCCAAATTCTGAACAAGTACCAGTTTTAAAAACAATGTAAATTTTCATCTGCTGTACTACGTTTTTCCTTAAAATAAGTATATCCCCCTTTGTTTTAGTTTTTCTCCGTCATTGGCTACATTAATGATGTTTAATAAAATTTCGTAACTCTTTAAAAACCAGACGGAGGACTTTAAAAGTTTTTAAGAAGGAATATTTTATGGCTGAGTGGCATAACGGTACAAGGTAATAGTTTTTCATTGCTAAGCATCATACTTATTTTTATATATATATATATATAAATGTAATTATGTAACCAAGTTAAATAAAAACTCATCAAAATCTAAATAAAAAATGGATAAGACTAACAAATAATTTGCTGCTGAAATATTATTCTGCATATTAAGAGAAAATGCAATAATTTTAATAATTCGAATTTCTTTTTACGTGATTTTATATTATGACCATAAAAAGTGCTTTTCATTTTTAAAAATACATAAAAAATGTGTATTGAGTTGTGCTCAAGTTGGTGTAAGAGGATGTACATTGCACTAAAATTCATGGCATGAACTTAAGCAGCTTTGGCTACAACCAGAAAAATTTCAAAATTTTGCCCGACAGATGGCTCTGTATTGTCTTCCTGACTTCAGATAAAGCTTGCTTAAATGCTGTGTAATTGAATCATTATATAATACTTTATACTAACGTTTGTTCAATGTCTCCCTTCTCTACAGGAAATCATATTCTGAAAGAATGTTATGCGAGTACTCAGCTTTGAATAAATCTGGTTCTAAGGAAGTCATTATTTAATTATGATCATTATTTAACCTAAAGGAGCCATTATTTAATTATTTAAGAACAGTATTTAATTGTGTTAGGGTTGGGGTAGCTCATAAACTTCAAATAATTCTACTACCGAAAATCTATATATCGGCAGTAAAGCATGAGACCAACTAGTCGCTTGAGGCCAAGTGCCTTTATGAAGAATTGCTGCATAACGGACGTTACATTAAACGGTACACATAAACGTGAAATAAATGTCACATAAGCATGACAGCCTCTGTCAGATTTCATTCCCTCGAACTACGTACTTTATTCTCTCTTAATATTTTTAAATACCTCTCCTATTGGGAGCACATTTTCCAGCCATTTTGTTGCAATTGGTTTATCAAAAAAATACGGTCCATGATGACGTATGCCATAAAACTGTGCAACACAATAACTCGCGTTGACTGTAATGGGTCCAATATACACTCGGAGATTGTCTTTTACCAGTATTTGGCAATTATAGGTATTAACACTTTTGTGCAGTGAAGAATTTGCTTCACATATTTAAAGGATGTTCAGAATTCATAGCCAATTACCAACAGATTTTATAATCCCACGTGGCGAATTCTTCCTGATCTTGTATACTACTTAGTTTCAACGATTGCAACTTGTAAAGATACATTGTAAAGATCTCGATCGGAGAACTCCCAGTTTTCTTGGAGCGCAACAGAAGAGATTTTAGTGTTGTCATAGGCATCAGGCCATAGCCTGGTTTCATCTGTCCTGTACACAAGACCGTCATTATGCTCAAACAGTTGTTTCCCTGCTAACATAAGAACAATTTTACCATGAAACATCTTATCAGCTAATTTCAATTTCTAATAGCCCATCATTCAAATCCATGAATATAAAAAATATAAAAAGTTGAAATTTTGCTGATGGACAGCTTCTTTCAAAGGTAATCTTAGATGTATAACTATTCCTTCTAGGATAATATGCCATAATGGAAGCCTCGAGGGAATTTAATTTTTCAGGATCATAAATTTGTATGATACGTACTCACCACTGTAAATATCAGACACATTTCCCTCATACTTCTTATTATACTATACAGTATAAATCACACAGAACTGAAATTTCCATTACCGTAAATATTTTTCCTTACGTTTAATATAAAGTGCTCCAAACCGAAATTTTTTATTTTACGGATATTTGTTATCTATATGAATGCAAAATGATGAATGGCCTCTTTTCTATTGCATTTCCTGAGTTATCATATTATTTGAATACTTGTATTTCTAAAATTAAGTAATATAATCTTTTCTGGTGCTGCCTTTATTCACTAAACAGATGTTATTGATGATTAAGAACAAGGCTGCATTAACCATTAAACAAAATAAGCACGTGCTTAGGGCATCAAGAAAAGATGGCGCTACAAAAAAAGTTCTTAGGCATTCAGGAAAGGGTGCACCAAAACATTTCCTATTCCCGATTTTACCATGGAATCGATGCGCAGCTAAACCAAAACTGAGATAGAAAAGGAATAAAGAAAAAACGAACTGGTGTAAACATATGTGAGGACAATAAAATCTTTTAAGTTCTTGGGGCTTCTAAAAGTCTTCAGCTGGCCCTGATTACGAATTTAATATTACCTTATATTAATAATTACATTACATGATATTAAGCTGCATAACAGTATATTTTACACAATGTCAGACAGATAATTCCTGACTTCGTTGAACTTTGTGCGCTTTAAATATAAAGCATAAATTAATGCACGGGTTTTTGTTGCTTTCCGATAGCTATTTTACAAATAAAAATGTTGTTTCTTTGTTGTCTTTATTTAAAACTGCTGGCACACTCAGTAATAAATTGACTTTGATAATTCCGAATTACCTCGAAGCTCCAATCTGATAATGATACCAGATTGAGTGATGGATTGATTTTATGAAGTCAAATAATTCTCGAGAGTGTCAGAAATTTTCGTCTTTCATTTAATATTAGCTCGGAATTTAAAGTTCTTTTTAAATAAAGCAAATCAAAATTCTTAATTCATTCACCATTTTTGCATTTCTTATTTCATGTGATCTTTGTTTTATTTTTCAGTACAACCTGGACTTCGGCTCCGCTTCTGACCGTTCCCGCCTGATGTCGCCTTACAATCGAGGGGAAGGAGCAGGGGAGGAGTACGGGGACGGTGCCGGTGGCATGCCCCCGAAGGGAATACAGAGCTCTTCCGATCCGAACATTTGACAATTAGGGAACGGCTCCAGGAGAGCCACCAGCGAGCCCAGGAGGACCACCAGGGTCTCTTTCCTTACACTGCTCGGCTCAAAGCGAAGAGATAATTAAAACGCGGATAGAGAGAGCGCCTCCTCCTTTTAGGTTGCCCTCCCACTGGTTGCAGTATTTGGCAGAATCTTGCACAGAGACGCCCGCATCCACAAATTTCATCTCAGGTCGAGTCCACGAATACGAATATGATCCATCCAAAACGCACTTCACGCAGCTTTGTCATGTAGCCTAATACACAACTTTCCGAGGGAAAAATATTTAATGGCATTATTAAAAATAAAGTAAGATCCATAATTAGAACAAATGTAAGAGAAAATATAACTTCCTCTTTACAGAATTAACTCTGCATTCTTTCCTACTCTATTTTTATTTTCAATAATAAGAAATCGGCCTGTTCCAACGCGTGAAGATATCGTAAACTTACACTGAATTCCTTTATTGCTTTATTCTTAGTTTTTTATGGCTGCAAGTTATTTTTAATTCTTCCAAAAGTATCCATTTTAATACTAGTCATTTGTTAATAAAATCATATTTATAAAAGAAAATGAATGGTTATATCTTTAAAAACTTACGCTTGTTACATTCTTAGCTGGCATGGCTTGAAAGAGAGTAAAAATCACAGAAAGTTAAAAAGAATTCAAAATTAAAACGTCAAACCTTACGGCAAATGTAAAAAAAAAGGGGTGTCAAAATATGTGCCCCTTACTGAAGTACGAATTAAAAAAACTAATTTTTTGAAGAGAAAACATTTTCTCTCGGATGATAAAGAAATCACTTTCTCAGCTATATTTTCGGCATTTTAAATGTGTAGCTATGTTCTGATCATCACCAATGACATAAAACTCGGGCTTAACTCCGAATTTAAGGGTCATTAAAATCGTCTTATAATTTTACATGATCGTGTTTTCTTCTCTTGAATGCAAAGCAAGTGGGCTTCAGGAAGATCAATTGGATTACTTCTCAGACTACTTAGACCTGTATGAAATCTTTTCTTTTCTATTCAACAAATATTTTTCTGAGAAGATTCTTATATAACAGTATGATAGCTTTAAGAATATAACTTATTCCATTTGTTTTATGTAATTTTATCCAGCTATTGTGATTTTATAGTTATTTATAATTCCCTTCCTTTCTCAATGATATCTTCGGACTTGAGTGTTGTAATGTAATGATCCTAAATTAAAATCTTGAATCATTTCTTTAAAAACATAAATGAATTCTGAAAACACCAACTTAATTTTTTTTTCTTTCACCTGTAAATTTAGCGAAGTAGTGAGTAATTTCAATTTTGAAGATGAACTGCATATTTGACAATGGATGCAACACATTCGTGGACTGGATCAATATGCGTTAAAATGTATGTTGAATATTGAACGCAAAAACCCCCACCTCAGCTTGTGCCTCGTGAGGGTCAAACGTAAAATTTCGGTGTTATTTCCCATTAGCGCACCTACAGCTGGGCAATTATTTTTATGTAGATTGTGTCGGTGCTGCCATCTTCTGTTCGTTTAAGGAACCGCGCGCAAGGCACGTATCCAAATCTCACCAACCTATCCTTTCACCCAGCTAAAGCAAATCGATTCCAACTCGCTGCGAGCGGATTAAAAAAAGATTGAGAGTTTCAAATTTTGATGATCTGGTATTTACTTCTTCGCATTGAAAAAAAAAAAAAAAAAAAAGAAAAGAAAAATATATATTTCTAAATATTTAAAATATTTAAATTACAATGTATGAAATTTTAAAATGCTATTCGTAAAAGCTGTCAAATGGCTTATCAAAAACAAGTTTATATTCATAATAAAACTCAGGTTTTACTTCAGATGATCTAAAATTAATATGTTTGCTGTATAAGTGAGCCTGACATAGCAAATTACGAGTATTTAAAGGAACATCATATCTTAAAACACTAAGATATAAATGAGAGATAATACTATCGTTACAAGCATTTAAAAAATCTTATGATCCGACGCACTACTATCCTAAATATTTCCTGTTTTCTTCTCTCTGCAATATTCTGCCTTCTTTTGCCATCTAAACTGTAGCTTCACTTTTTCTTCGTTGATAAATTTTGAATTATGTAATTTATTTTAAGCAAGAATTTTTATGCCGTAGTTATTTATCGATAACTTTCCGAGCTTACAAAAAATTAAGTATTTTAGGAATTAATTTTAATAAATAAAATTATCTAAAATATTAAGACACTTTTAAAAAATGTTAATATTTTTGCAGAACAATTAAGTGAAGAAATTCTTTTTTATCTAAGTGAAAAACACTACTGAACATTAGCATCCATGACAGCAGTTTTAACTCTGAATTGGGGGGGAAAGAACTTTTTAATCTTATTTGAGTATTATAACCGCCTTAAATTTATTTACTTACTTTTCAGGTCTTTCAAACTCGGTTTTATTTTTTATTTTTCCCCCTTTTATTTTTTTTCCCTTTTCGAGGAAGGGGGTTAAAAGTTTACAAGATTTGTAGTTTTTTATTTCTTTGATTGAATTTAAAACTTCCTAATTACCTGTAAAAGAAGAACTATTTTATAAATAAAAACAAACATGATATATTTTTCAATTCTCTTTGTTTTAAAAGTCTTGTTTTTGCAAAATACAAAATAAGAGAATTTGGAATATTTAATGTTCATTTTATTCTAAGATTTCTTTTTACATACCTTTCGAATTGTGACTTGCTTTTTTCGTTCTTTGCAGTCAGTTATATTTTTATGGTTTTAAATCCGTTTATTAAAATTCCTAATTTTTTAGTACATTTGTTTAATACCTTGACATTCTTATTTTCTGAAGCTACTTTTTAGATTGCGAGATCTCAGTACTGCTATATTTAAGGTGCAGTGCTAAATATTTCACTTCTCTCGATTATTTTTCTATGGAAAATTTAATTTTAAATTACAAGAAAATAATGATAGAAAATAATATTCAGAAGAAAAAATTCAGCAAGATGTAGAAATTGCAGCATTGCGCCTTTTAGTGAAGGAAATTTCGAACTGTAATCATTTCTCTAATGTAGACTAGTTACACGAACTGATGGTGCCAATCGTGTCACAAGTATGCATTTATACGTTAATGAAATAAAAAAAAATTATTTTGGTTTTAGTTCGTTAATTTAAAACAGATTCATTACAACCATTTTAAACTCATTTTTTCCCCCTCCTGATGTTTGATCTAACACAAACAGGCTTGATTTATCTTCTAAAGAATCTCACATATTCTTTTTACAAAGTTCAGTATTCCATGTATACATACTGGTAGTCTAACTAAGTCCCTTTTCACTACACTAATTAGGTGGATCAGTTATTGGAAATTAGAACAGATCAAGTAAAACCTCTTTGAAAGTGCCCTGCATACATACTGCCACGATTGAGCGCTCAGTCATTCAATCCTAGATCCTGTGATATTGCGTGATGGGCTGCGGTGGTTCTCCATGGGTATTTTTACTAACTTTACAAAAGATGCTGTGTATTATAGGCTGACAGTTTTCGTCCAGCAAACACAAATGCTTGAAATATGAGGATAATTGTTCTAAACAGAGTATTTCTAAACTCTTAATTGTTTGGAAACAGTGTTAAAATTTAACAGTTGCTTGAAGGGCATTTATTGATTTAGTCGGAAAATATCTTTATTCTCATATTATAAAAAGTAATAACTTCATTATTGCCGTGATTTTTCTTCTTTTTATAAAAAGGAATAACAGTTTATCAAATTATATATTTTTGAGTTCGTGCAAAGCAGAATTCGAAATACACACACCGCTTTTTAAAACTGAGCATGAAATTTTCGTTAATCTAGAGAACGTGCAGTAATTTCTGAGAGAAAAATTCAAATTCGTATTTGATATGATAACTGCTTTCTATTATATAAGTATCGCAGAGATTTTTTTTTGCCTTTATCAAATATAAATATTCATTGGTTCTTCTGTAACTGACATTAGCGTTAAAATTACCTCTTTCCTTTTCATAAAAAGAAAAACAGAAAACAATAATAAAACAATTACACAACGGAAACTGAACTAAAAATTAATTCCTTCGTTATTTGTCATAATTTCTGTAATGATATTTTATTTTTACATTTGTAATCGTCAAAAGTGACACAGACATATTAATCAGGAATGAATTAATATTAACTTTAATTAAGCATAGTTTAAAGTCATAATAATAATATATTTCAGCACAGACGTTTCGTAATTAAACTAAGTTTCTCATTTTTTCGAATTTGGGCGATTTCTCTACGTGGTGATTGGCCTCACGCGCTTTCTTTGGTCTTATGATATCAAGAGCTGAAATCCTTTCGGAAAGTTCTTGATTGATGCTGACCGAAGAGCCGTGTGTTTTTAAGAATAATTCTAAAATCGTGATAAGTTCTTTCGTCCAAAATCCTGCTTGAAATAAGAATCTCGAAACAATGCATGCTTATCAAAAATTTTTAGTGGACTTTTAAATGAAGTACCGCATACAGAAACACTAAAAAAATAAAGAATGAAATATTATTTATTCTGTTGTACTTGTTATTTTAAAATAATCATACGGAGGTGCAAAAGATTAATCTTTGACTAACATCTAAACTGTGGCATCACCATAGAGGCTGAGTAAACAAGGAAGTTAACGAGCATTCTATGCTATCACGTTTTTAACTGCTGAAAATATATACTTTCCAAACATTTCATTTTCTTCACCTAGAATTCCCTGAATGCTTAGATGGAAGTATTTTGCACCATATTCTATCACATACTCACTCTTTAAGTAAATATCAAATATAAAAATTTCTTAGTCAATTAATTATCTTATTTCAAATTATATTCTGTTCACCGACAAACTCTCATATTGCAATCTTCATTTCAATTTTATTTAATTGTTTAATGAACTTACTGACCACTCCACAGAATTATTTTACCTATTATACAGTCTTTTGTTTATCTCGCTGTAAATAGACAATTTTTATTTCCTTTGTATGTTTTACTCATATAGTCAAGTTTAGAAAACACCTGTTTCATATTATACTTTATCTTTAAAACTTAAGACTTTTTCTCATTCCATGTCTAAAAAGTAGTTATTATTTATTCTAAATGTTCTGAGCAAGAAAAGAACACTGTAATGATACCTAATCCATCTAGGGATTATATGCGGAAAAAATGATGATGATGTTCATCATGAAAACTTCAGGAAGTGGTAGAAAAAACTAGAAAATCTGAGAAGAAATTCAATACAATCGATTTAAAAAACAAGGAAGTTAAAAACTTTTTATGCCTATGGGATGACCAGGCAGCAATTAGAACAAGCATGACAAAATTCGAGGGGGAAAGCGTCAAGCTGTATGAGAAAATCGGCATCCCACCACCCACCGATTACTACGTTTCCTTATTTTTCTCCTCAAAATGGCAGAATTCCGTTAGAAGTGATCTTCTTTCTTTAGAATTATTGTGGTTTCTTATTAAAGCTATTTATCTTTTATAAATTATTATCAAAAGCTAATTATATATTAATTTAATCACTGTCACAGCCTGAAGTTTCCTGCCCATTTCTGATTTACTCTTACAATGCGTATATATATATATATATTCTGGCTGCTATATATGGCTTGCAGCCAGAATATTTCTAGGTGATCTCCTATGTTTAAGATTTCGCTCTAGGATTCTTTGTGAGTTAAATAACTTTTCCAATACTTCACAGAGAGAAACACAATTATATATTAGCCTTACCATGATATTCGGAAATTGCTTTCCATACCTATGTTTACTTTACGTGAGTATTTGAGATACGTCTTCATTTATTTTTTCTTTCTTTAATAATTCAATACCTAGCTACAGTTTTCTGCCACGTATGTTTGTGAAATACAGGAATGTATCTCATATTTCATTAAATCAATACTTCCACATAAATTTTCTGCGAAATGTCTGTAGACAGCCTTTGTAATGTATCTTAAGCAACAATCTCATTGTAGATTTAAATGACCTTTAAAAACAATGTCTGTAACAGGCATGTCAATCTTGCGGCACTTGGCTCATCTTTGGGTTTCACCCCGAGAAAAGGATAAAAAAATGAAGTATATTAATAAATATTGGAATTCTATGCAATATTGAGGCGTATATACAGCCTCGAGGTAGTATATTTGCAAGAGTACTTTCTCAACCAAAGTAGACAAAATCATAGCCAATTTTGAGATGGAATGAACAGGAATTCAGTGCAACTCTATTCTAAACATAAAAATTCACTGATATGGGTATCTCCGAATTTTGAAAATACTTGCCCGCATGGTTTCCAGAAAGCCTCAAATTTTGCGTCCTACAGGATTTCCAAATTCGATAGTACATACCAGAGGGTACAACTTTTCTCCCTTTTTTTGCTCCTTGCGGCAGGCGCTACTGTATACTCATGATTATTTGGCTCACTTAAGACACTACGTTTGACATGCCCAGTCAATAATATCTGAATATTCTTATCAGAAAATAAATATTAAATGCTAAATTAGCATGCCATCGATATTGCATTAGTTAGTTCACTCATATGTTGAAATTAACACATACAAAATATACAAATAAAGACATAAAAGTTCATCTAATTTGCTTCTTAAGAATTAAATACATTTTGAGTCCTGGAGCGAAATCTTGCATCTAAATCAGCAGTTAATTATGTTTACTTCCGCTAAAATAAAGGTGTTATGTGCAGTAAATAACAATACTCATAGAATAAAAATTTGACAGTTCTTTGAAATTTTAATATCACATTACGTACTTCAACCATTTGTGCTTGCTGGACTAATTTGGAATGTCAAGCTGTGGTGTCCATTTTGTACGACATTAATTGTATGAACACCATCAAAGTGAAAACTTATAACTATCTTCCATTAATGTATTCGTCGCAAAGTACGTGCATAGAAACTGTGCTTCAGTAGCTGGAAGTTTTTCTATTGATGAAAAGTAAACATGAAGGTATACCGGGTCTGGAACTCGAAACCTTCTATAGCTTATACGGAGATGTTATTCACTTTGAACTGATTGCGAAATTATTCATTCGCAATCCTGTCACTGTAAGAAAATAAAATCCAAACTCGCTTAGAGCTTTATATGTAGAAGATGTACGAGTCAGCAACTGACTATTTTCGTTGAATAGATCAGTGAAGACTCGCATTTTTTCTTAATTAATATTCTGGCAGTGGAAAACAGTAAGAGAATGGTATCATATCCCGAAAAGACAAGATGTTGTTAAATTTTTGCGAAAGGCCTTTATAGTTGTTTTAAAGAATGAAATTGATAATGTAATGAAATTGTAGCATTTGTGAATGCATTACTGTCATTTTGGGAGAAATTTGAAATTGCCTCTTTTGCAGTTTAAATACCATTTAGAATTTGGCACTTTTTTTATTGTATATTAGTTTTATTGTGTGTATGAATATAACAAATCTATTTTAATTTTTCTAAAAATTTAATACTGCATTTTATTGTTTTTGAATCCTTTATAACTGGTCGTGTCATATAAATTCTTTGCACCAGGATATATCGTGTAAACACGAAATGTTTAACTTACAATATACATAGTTTTTCTATTTGAAATGCATGAAAATTTGAAATATGTATCTGTGTGTATATACATGCAAACACGCCTTTGATCACTTGTTTAAGTCAAATATTTACATGAATAAAATTATACTTTTTATGATACAATTGCAAAAACAATACAAATACATTTCTAAATTTCACGTATTTCTGAATTTCAGGAATATACCGTTCTCAGCAACCACTCTTGTAGGCAAATCTTGTACTTAATTCCTTTAATAATGAATTTTTAATTAAGTGATAGTAACTGGAAAAAAGCCATAAATGTTTTAACAACTATTTTTGTATTTGGAGGGTAAAAAAGCCGTCAATTCAAAATTCGTATTTTTGCATATTATTTTTATTTTCTGTTTTGTTTTCAAGAATATTCTTTAAAAAATAAATATATGATATGATGCGCTTTTTCTATACAAATAATTTCTTTCTTCCTCGTTTAATGTAAATTTTAATAAAGTTAGTACTTAATTTATTGTACTCTCTTAAATCACAGTTTAGATTAAAATCGTAAACTTAGAAAGATTCTTAATATTTAAAACATGTTTATTTTCCATTTAAATACCTAAATTAAATAATTAGGAAACGACGTCGGTTTCAAATCCTTTAATTATTTATTTGTGTAATTGATAAGGTTATTATTTCATTTGTGGCTTTGATTTGTGCAGATGACTACACTTTGTATAAAATGTAACCACACTTAAACCCTAATCATTTCTTATACAAAATGCGCTTTATTAAATTACCTAGGTAAATCACTTAACATTTGGTACAGACTTTAATATAATAGTTAGATTTCCTACTTTCAGTCCAAGATAAGCAATTTCTTAAATTACAGAACAGGAAATTTAAATTCATATTTAACTTCACGTGTATTGATATAATATAAATTACAAAAATATATTAAGGTAAATTTCATCAGAGTAGAAAATTATATTTTTTAATACATAAAGAGTTAAATTTCTTTAAATCGGTAAATAATTTTCCCAATCCAAGTCCAATGAAATATGTGATAATGTGCTAATTCATAAGGTTCACAGCCAAAATATTACTCAAATAAACGTTATTACTTTTTGTGATAACCAAATTTTGAAAACAAATTATTTTTAAATGCAAATGCGGTAATATGTATTGTTTCTGTTTCATTTTTTCCCGGAGGACTCTTTGTAGTTAAAGTGACGCAGTCCTACAAAATAGTGCCAACTCAAGTCTTCGCTAAGTTAAATCAACTTATTAACATGAAATAGGAAATTAATTTTAATATACATTAAAAGAAATCTAGGAACTTGCCCTTTATCTAAAATCAATACACAATTATTTTAAGGTAAGAAAATCTGTTATTCGTTAATTCATACTTGCTTATTAAACACACATGAAATATTTAAGCAAAGAAAAATGTTAAGAAAATATGAACTGTATTTTTATTGCTTTATATTAACTCAAAAAATAGTTTTAATGACTCGTATTTTGACTTCCTTCAAGTACCTTGAATTCGGTGGCTTTTAGGTGTACTCCATTTGACTGTTTGTGTAGAATTTCACTGTTTCAATTCATAACTGTATAGCCTTGTCGCATATTTTATATCAATCTGGAAAATGTGACGATTTATGGCACTGCTTAATTAAATAACCTTTCATTTAAAATTCTTTCAAAATACCCATTTCTGTCCTTTTGGGGGCAAAAACTATGTATTTGGAAGATTGGAGTTGTATGTTTATTACACATTAAGTATTTATTTGTTATCATATGTTTATTATACACCAAATATTTATTTGTTTTATACGTTTATTACATATTAAGTTTCATTTTTTATCATATGTTTATCATACATCAAATATTTATTTGTTATCATATGTTTGTTTCCGAGTCCTAAATTATTATAAACCTTTCGACTATTCAAAACTAAGCCCTCTCATTCTTAATTTGTGTTACTGATTTTGCATATAAAAATTTACTTATAAATTTGTTAAAAATTTACTTAAAAACATTTGCCATCTATATGGTGTACACAAAAATGTATTTTTAATAACATATTCATAAATATTTATAGAATGTGCTGTTTTTAATCTAAAAAGTATTTAACTGTAATGTATCTATTTAAACTGTAATATTTGTAAATTTTGGAAACAAAACATTTATGAATATTGATACAAATTTCTTGTTAATAAATGAATTTACTTACGTAATCACACAGTTATGTTTATATTGAGATATACACATAAAGAAAAACCTCGTGTTAAACTTTTAATGTATATATGAAACATGTCTTATGCGAAAAAATTTCTAGAAATGTGATGAAAGTTATCATATCATTATGCCCATTCTTGGAAGGATATAGTTGTTCCATGTAAAATATTTTGAAAATGCACTGTTGACACTACACATTTCAAAAACTGAACAATTATTACAAGTAGTTTTAAAAAGTATCCTATTTTTCTGATGTAGATAATATTTTTTAAACTTTGCCATTATGATAGTCACAGATATCCAGTAAACAATCGTGACTTTAGATTTCTTTAGCTTAAATCCTTTCTAAGTAGGCTACATACATTTATATGATCAAGTAAGAAATAAAATAATGTATTAAATACTGATTTTTATTAAACTCCTATTAACTGATAAGATTATTGTTTTAGGCAAAACTGTAATAATATTTTATAAAAGTTGTGTTTTGCTTTATAATTACTTCGTCAATCATAAAACATAAATACAAAGCTGAGGGTTTAAAAATTCAGCTTCTGTTTTCAATATATTCAGTTTCTTCAAGTTTATAGATATAAACTCTATAGAATGTCTTTTTCAGAAATCAGTACCTTAATGAGTTGTCGTTAATAACTAATAATCTTTCTAAAATTAGTATTCAACTTAACATAAAAAATTTCGTTCTTCTTTAAAAAGTTTTCGAAGGCTTAATTGTAATTTAAAAACTGTAAGAAAACTTCATGAACACAATTAATAATAACCTGATAAATCTAGAACTAACCTCTAATTTAATTCTTCGAATTTTCCAGCCTCTTTCTTTTTTTTTTCCTCGATTTAGAGCTTCTAAATATAAGCTTTCATTTTTAAAATTATATCAATAGAAAAGTAAACTCTCTCTCTCTCTCTAAAATACCTAAAACATCGTTTGAACAAATAATTGATGGAATCTTTATTTTGAGTGCAGAAATATTTTAGATTTTTATTAGTATTTAGCTAAAAATTCTACTTTTATATTAAATACTTTCCAGTAGCTGGAAAGTATTTAATATAAAAGAATATAGAAATGCACTGGAGCATTTCTACTCCGGCTACTGGAAATATGTATGCATGTATTATAAATAAATACCTAAACATATATTTTGAGAAAATGCTTTATAAATGATATCAAAATAGGCAACAAAATAATTAATAACGGATAAATATTAAAATTTTATTACGTGAGAATATAAATGATCATTTAAACTTGTAAACTTTTATTAATCAGTGAATGAGACATATCTTAGTCTATTTGATGATTTACTAAAACAAACGATTTCTGATTGTAAAGCAAATAAAAGCTTTAAGGATTACATAAAAATTAAATAATTATTTTTATTTTATGTGTTAATGCATTGAACCATATGTTACATACAGCGTGAGAAACTTACTGACTTCCTTTCTGGCTGAAATGTACAAATGGCAATCATTTTTCTGTGTAGTTCCATCGAGCTTTTTCGTACTTTATACGTGATAAGGAATAGACATTCCTATCACAGTAAACATAGGTGTAACAAGTTGAAAAGGAACGGCTGTTAATTTGCAGCTAACTTTTCGCGGTTTGTTATACTTAATATGTTTCGAGATTATAGGTATTTAAGAAACAAGTAATCAACTTGTAATGATTTCTCTAAATATGTATATCCTTGTAAATAATTTCTACATTTGTGATAGTTTGTGTTTACAGAGGGTTGTTTTTTTTTTCCATAGCCAACATCGTAAGTTATAAATAATAATTTTAAACGGGTCTTATTAATCAAGTTGTAAAAACCAAACGAACTTGATACAGCTTATGTGTATTTTTTCTCCCTTTTTAAGAAATATTCTCACTGTGGTCTTTCGACCAAAGTTTTTCTCATGGAATTCCAACTTGTTGGCAATTTTTATAGTGTGAAATCTGAAGTTTGGCACAGGTTATGCCTCTTATTTATAAAACTTTCATTAATTATTAGGACACAAAAGAAAATTCAAGACACTGCATATAGCTTTTACGTTAATAAACATAAAAACGGTGTTTATACAATAATAAGAATTATAAACGGTATTTATACAATATATCACATACAAACAGACATCAAAATTGCTAAGTATTTATAAACCCTTTACAAATATTTAAAACTATTAGAACGAAAGTTAAGTGATCACATCAAACTCATTTTCGAAGATATGGAAATGAAACTTAAAGAGAGATTTCGAGACTAAAATGTTTCAAAATTTTAATTTTTTTAACCACTAAAGCCTCTAAACTCGTCTTTTTATTTCTTAGCATTATAAATTAACACTTTATTTAATATATAGAATTGTTATTATCAAATAAAATTACGTTCCTTAATAATATATTACATAAATTCTTTAAAAAAAAAAAAAAAAAAAAAAAAAACACTCTCCCTTTTCATTTAATAGACTAAACTTTGAAATTTTCCCTTTTTAGTGTAATTGTGGTTTCAGCAAAATTGGGTCAATCAATGTCTAAAAAATTCCAGCATTGACTGTTATCATTAAAAAATAAGAAAATAATCAATGCATGAATAAAACTGTTTAAAAATTTTTAGCACATCTATATTCGTACGAATTATGCTACATTTGCATTTTCACATTAACAGAAAGTCCTGAAAAATGATTTTCTAAAATTTATATTTTAGTAAACATCAATTTCAGTCGTGGTACATTATATTAAATATTTCTTATAATTTTAAACCTTTCAAATATAATTCTTTTTCTTTATTTTCTTTAAATTAGTTATGGCTTAATTTTATATTTATTTCTAAAATGGTTTTATTTGTCCTTTACATACAGATTTTTTCCATAGAAATTAATTTTCATGTTTGAACGCGTTAGTCCTTCTAACTTTCATTCATAAATCAAAAATGTTTCATTGCGAACACATGTTTTCTTAAAAAACTGTCTGATTTATTTACGCGATTATATGTCATTTACTTTCATTTTCTATTTATATATTATTTATGCGTGCAGCTTTACTCGTTTATTTTTCCGATATTCTTATTTTCTCACGTTTTAGCTAGTAAATAATCCCCGACAAGCTAATTAATTTATTCCAATTAATCTTATGCTACAAATAAAACGATTGTGCATTCATTAAAGGAATATTTGGCTGAGTTAAATCAGTATATCCTTATCTTATATTGTAACATTACACCAGCTGGTCAGCCTCTGATGCCTGTAGTCATTAACAGCTTATTAATTTCTCAGCTGGATCATGCTTATTTTTGTTACATGGCCTTGAGCTTTCTACTACCATAAATCCAAAAAATTTATTTAAAACGAATTATACTGATTTAATAGGTTAATTTATTATCATCTTTGGAAATCTCTAATTTATTTTATATGAGGTAGAGCCTAGAGCTCAGGCACTCAGGTGTAGCAAACACCATTCCACAGGAAAAGAATTTTCTTTTTTTTTAAGAGAGTTTACCCTTGCCAAACGTCAGCGTCGCAGATGATTGTCAACAAAATTGTTTTACTGTGTCTCATTGTCGTATGTACCAATAACATTTTACATAACATGCATGTTATTTTGATTTTCCTAGCAAGCATCGGAACAAATCACTTCTGTCTTCAAATCTGTAGTTGTAAATCAAAACTCAATTTTATTTCTACAGCACGTGTGAAAATGTCCCATGTGTTGTGTTTGTAAATCATACGTTTATTGAAATGTATACTTTAGTGCTCAATTTATCTTCTTTCTTGTATACACAGGAAATTTATGTACAAATGAAAGAGTATGTACACAGCCTAAGTGTGTGGATACGTTTAGTTATATACATAAATATATATTTATGCGTTGTACAGTTTAGTTTACAAAACAGAGGACTATAATTATTAGAAATGTGAATGTAAATTTATTCCTTATAATTGAAAGTTATTATTACTTGTGTTTTCTGTGCAAATAAAAAGTACTATGGTTATAGATGCTTTTAATTTTTTTCCCTACATATGCCTATTAAAACCTGATAAATCTTTGTTGAAATGTTTGTTAAATCTTGGGTTCCCAATACGACTTTTAATTCTAGGAAACATGTATATACATTCGCACATAATCGAACACAGGCAGACAAAGTAATTAGATGTATTGTTTTGCCTACGATAAGTTTTTCTACTCGCAGGATGAAAAGTCAAACTTAGTTGCGGAAGAAAGGCAAATAGAAAAGGGCAGTTTTGTTTGAGAGCCAAATAATTAAGCAGCATATGAAACGAAATTTTTTAAATGCCAGACAATAAAGTGGTTTAAAAAAATAAAAGAAAAATAAAGCCCAAACTACACAGAAAAAAATAATAATTATGATCCTAAGCAAAATAGAGAAGATGAATGAGAATTGAGAAATAACGTACCCGTGAATGTATCCTAATGTGCCATGAAGAATGTGTCAAAAATTGAAAAAGGTCCTGTGACATGTCACCCCACATTTATGGCCCTAATGTGATGGTGTAAGTATGTAGTATATTAAGAGAGGCATTCAAAGTATTAGACTAATTTAAATAAAAAAGAGAAAAGAAAACGGAGTGCTTCGTTTTAGTAACTGAGTACTCCTGAACATTTGCATCTTGTCAGAGGGAAAAACGAAGCTAAAAGACTATGATCAGGAGTGTGTTGCTTTGAAAACTCTTAAGTACGGTTGAACTAGCTAAAATCGCTGGCAAAGCCAAAAAAGTGATCAGGAGTGTATTGCTTTGAAAACTCTTAAGTGCGGTTGAACTAGCTAAAATCGCTGGCAAAGCCAAA